GATGGGGTCGTGAATCCAAAAAGATTGCCAGCTGATGCTGATGGTGCTCGCACCGCGGCTCACTGAATCCATCCAATGACTGGGTCGAACTGCCACCCTGCTATGGGTTGAAAGAGCTACAAGGAGCTGGGGTTGTGAATCAAAAAAACAGCTCGCGATGGTGGAGGGGGGCAATTCCACAACTTGAAATTCTTCATGGCGGGTGCACCGAATGGTGCTGAAGGATTTTTGGAAATCCTTCAGGGCTCACTGAACGGCTGAAGAGCCCACGTTGTGGTATTGATCTTTGGAAATCCTTGAGCCAATGGGCGGGGGAGGGGGGGGGCAGGATCTCCAAACTTGAGGCAAGTGCTGAACGGTCACTGGTCGTGGGGGGAGCTCTGGCTCAGCTTCTGGTTTGAAGTCTTGGGTTTCGGTACGTAAAAACTAATATGACTGCTTCAGAGTCCTTCAGACAGAAGGCTGGCACCCGAAGGCTGGCACCCGACTTTGAGGACTCTGCGCACAAACCTCCAGAGTCCAATACAACGGGAAGGGCGGGGGAGGGAAGCCTCTCAGACTTTCACGCACAGCCATAAAGCTCTGTGAACTCCTAACTGCTCTCCCTGCAACCCTCCCCCGACCATCGCAGGGCGAGAGCCATGGTCTTTGTGGCATCGGCCGTTGATTGAGCAGCTGCTCTCACCTTGAGCCACAGGCTTTTTACACCGTTTCTTCAGGGACGATGCCACAAAGCAGCGCCTGTTGATAGGTTCTGGATGGTTAGGGGGTTGACGTGGCGTTTTCTACCTTCCACCCGAAGCTTGCCAACACAAGGAGCCCTAAACCTGAAAGATCCAGGAAAGGTCAAGCCCGAAGAGCCCAAGAGCCCCAACACCTCAGCCTGGGCACCTCGTGGAGGTCTTTGCCATCCTCTGCAAGGCTGCCCGCCACCTCACCGGGCTCTGACTCTGAGCTCAAAGAGGGGGCTGTATGGACGAACACGTCTCAGTTTGGGTTTCAGGCGGCTTAGACCTCGTGCCCATGCAAAAAACTCTGCGGTCTGCGGGGAAAAGGGAAAGGCCTTGATGACCACCGCTGCACCCGCGAGGCATCGCGAGGCCTGGATGTCGGGTCTGGACTGCCGCTGCCAAGCTCTCAACATTTTCAGATTCCACAGACCTGTCGAGCTCAACAAAGAACAAACAGTGTAGCCACCGGCATCTCCCATGCTGTGCCTCCGATTCGCCCTGCTGAGAGCCGACGTCATCCGCCCTGACCAGGAACAAGGTTTCAGCAGCCTGTGAGATGTCGAGATCTTGCATCCAAGTACCGACATTTCGGACTGCTGGAGGCTGCAAGGACTTCGGGTTGTCTTTTAAAGCTCAGAGACTCAGAGACCATGAAATGCTTCCCCGCAGCCTGCGGAGATTCAGAGCCCTGACTGACGACATGCAGGATGTGACGCGAGCTCGACAGGAACCTGGGGCCTCGACTCCAAGCCTTGAGCTCTTTCTGAAGAATGCGTCTTGCAGAAGACTCAGTCTGAGGGGAGGAGGAGGGCAGGCTAATAGGACCATGGTGGCTAAGACTAATTCAGCACGGCTGCACGATCACCAACTCCACAGTCACGCCTGTGCTCAGGTGCCCTACATACCAGACAAGCACCCTTAAAAAACTAGCGACGAGCGAATGGGAAGGGGACTTTGCACTACTACAAAGGAACCCGTTCTTGGACCGGCAATGCCTGGGTGCACGTCGGGTTTTGGAGGCGGCCTTAAGCGCAGCAACGGGCATCGGGAGTCGAGGACTTCGGCTTTGTGGGGTCTATAGGCACCTTTTGTGGCGGGCGGCTCGTCCAACATGGCTATGCCTTTTGACACGACCGACGGAGTCACGGCGCGCCTTTGCTCCTCGCGCGCTCTGCAGCCACCGCGTGGTTGAAGCGAAGGCCCGGATAGTTCTTCACGATGAGGATGCAGCCTCCGGAAGAGCCGCAAGGAGGGAAGCGGAAAGCGCATGGGCTCTCGGGCTGCTGGGTTCAAGCAAGCCAGGCTGCGATTCTGAAACAAGCCCGAATCCGCTGCTATAACATTGCCTGCCGGGCCAGCCGCGGCCATGATGGCACGGAAGATGGCGCCAGGCGAGGGGGCAGCAAAGAGTGCCCCAGTAACCTGGAAGGATCAAACAAAGGGTTTTCTTTCAAAGGCTGGAGAGGGCTGGACTTTCGGGCCCACCGTGGCACTATATCTGGAGCTCCAGCCTGGCGTTGAAGCCCTCCACCCCGCTGCAACGCTGGGCTCCAAGCCCTCCAGGTCCCACGCCTTCTGAAGCTCACGATTCCTTCAAATTGCGGAAATCCTCACAATGAAAACCTAGGAATTGATTGAACAAGATTCACTGTTCCAATCCCAACTGCTTCTTTCTCGGTGACGAAAGTTGAGTGGCTCGTTGCAAGTCTCCTAATCACGGATGCAGGATTCCGGGCCGATGTGCTTTTTCGGAGAGTGGGCCGAGCAGCCACACAACACACTGCACTGTATCGAACATGAGCAGCACCCCTAAACACCCGAAAACCTCAGACCGCTGCACCCTGAAAATGCCTCTACAGCTCCCCTGAAGTTTGACAAACCAATCCGAGGAGCTGAGGCCGTGAGGAGACCTTGGCCAACGAATCCGGCCATCAGCGGCTCGTGACCGGCACCACCTGTTTCTGTTGAGGAGTTTGAGTGGCTTCCGTACGGGTTCGGATCTTCTGGTCTGAAGTTCAAACTTCGGATTGAGCATGCCCCAGTGAGCCTGCCAGTTTGGGGAGACCACCTTTCACGGAAGGCTGGCCATCTTGAAACCTGTACCACGAAGCCTCCATACCCACCCCCACCTCGGCCTTGTGGGTCCAGGAAAGGACTGCAAGAAACCGTGTTTGGCCACTTTTGGCCTTCGGCCCTGTACAAAGCTTGTGGGCGCAAAGCAGCCTTCTCCTTCGGCTGGCCTCCACAGATCAGGGCCACATGGCCGCTGGCCGCGTACTCCTGCTTGTTTCTCTTCCACAACATGGAGTTCAGGACGACTGCCAGGGCTGTGGAAAAATCCGTGCTGAGAGGGAGTTATTGGAACAGAATAGAAGAACTGAGCGGCTTGTGTGAGTCTGCCTTTCAAGGGCGACATGCTCCGAAATACTAAGATCACTGAGACCGCAACATCTGAGCCTGTCTTTGCCATGTGAAAATGCGAAGAGACAGACGAGGCAAGTTGAAACGAAACGCGCCAAGCGTACAGAGGCAGAGGCCAAGCTAACCAACCAGTGACTCCTGGTAGTCGCGTCGCAGATGGACCTGGAGACTAGCCGTTTCGTGAGCCGTATGCCATATTCACCATAGTCTGCGGGCATCTTGGGCATTAAGCTTGAGATCCTGAACACATCCGGAGGCTCGGGTTGTCACTATGTCGTTGCCAGATGCGTGGCATTGGATTTAGCTTCATGCTGGCTTCTCCCCTACGTTTACAAGCCCCTTCTTTCCACCCTTGCGCACTGGCTTTTGCCTTCAGCCGACTTGCGAAAACTTTGTATGCCCGTCTGTGAATGCGCTGTTACGATCCGCCTTGGACTAGTGCACCTTATAGCTTCAAGGCGGAAGCAAGGTTCATCCCGCAACTCGACAACAGTAATGGGTTTTCGCGACGATAGCATAGCACGGAGCAAGCAACCACCAACACAGCTGAACCTTTAACCCTGAAGCCAGCACTGCGATCGCCAAGTCACCGAGTCTTCATCACCTTCTTGCGCAATGAGCAGTAGATGCGGGTAGAGCTGGCCTGAAGCAATGCCAGCAGAGTAAGCGGGAACAACCAAACACCCGAATGACCCGACTCGACTGCTTAATGGCGCCGCCGTGCTCTCCTCTGCTCCGTTTCTGCCGTGACTTTTGGTCACGGCCTGCTCGTGAAAGAAAAACCTGAAGACACAAAGCCAAGCTGCAGCCCCCACGCCAAGCTGCCACAACGCCCCAAACTCCTTTACCGATTGGGATGACGAGAAACCACAAGCCAAAGACTCCAACATCTGTCGCAAACCGAGAACCCAGACTTCGCAATGCCCCTTGAGGAAGCAAGTAGACTAAGCAGACATAGAGTGCTCATGACTCAAGACTTCTACTTTTCAAAGAGGGGATTCTCAATTGAGGGGGAGTTGGGCTCTCTCGGGAAACTGAGAGGCTGACAGTGTCCCTTCGCCAGCCCAACGAGGTGTCCACCGTCGATGAATTTCGCGCTCTCCTTCCTCCCAAGTCTTTGACAGCTCAGAGCTTAGAAGGCCAAGGCTGTTCGGCAGAGGCGCGACGCCGCGGGATTCAAGGCTTGAGACGCACGCGTGGTTGATCAAGGCTTAGGTTGAAGGTTCTCAAAATTAGGGTCCCTTTTGGGATCCTTTTTATAAGGGTGCCGTACTATATTGGGGACCCTAAAAGACACCCTAATTTAGAAAATTACCCAGTTGGAGACAGGCCTATCTGAATCGGATGCCATGTCAACTGCAGGATGTAGCATCCGCTCAAACGTCAGACGTCAGCTCAGAGAGGGCTTGGCAGCTACGGTCAAGTTCTGGGCATAGCAGCCTTTCGCACTCGAATTCCAAGAAAGTACCGTGGACATGGTTGTGGCCTTGACCTGTCTTGCGGCTGCCGGCATGGTTTACACAATCTCTCACAGGCCAACACGTGGTATCTCTCTTACCGTGTCCACCCCCGGGGGAAGGCGATCCACAGAGAGCAGAATGATGATTGGGGACATGACATACCCAAGCAATCCCGAACATATAGCAGTCGATGATGGCTGGCTTTATTGTCTGAGAAAGTCCGCTGAAGCGACTAACGAAGCGGCAACTGCTATTGCATCTGCTGCCCTTTTCAAAACACTCTGTTGTTGTTTACCGCGTAAACCTTACAGTTGCCAACGAAGTGCGGCTCTTACTATGCTTGTTTGTACTACACCCTCCTGCTCGGCTTACCATCCCTCTTCTGACTGCTAGTGTCGGCCTTTAATTTCACGCTTTCGAAGACTTCCCCTTATCCCCTTCAGGCAGGCCTTGGCTCCTCCCACAGGACTCGCATGGATCGCATTTCGGCAGTCACGAACCAATCCTCGAGGGCTCATACAGCACCGCCACTTCTAGAGTCCATCTGACTATCAGTCCTCAACTTGGGCTCTGAAAAATTGCTTGTCTTCCGAAAGGTCCTTTCATGTGCAATGAGCTGCAATAAAGGTTCTGCCTCTCCTGCGTATCTCATCGTCTTTTTCTGGCTGGGTCTGTGTAGTCTTTTGACTTTGCGAAGCACTGCAACGAATCGACGCATACCTACATCCAGACGCCAAGCCCCATTGACCATGCGCAGACTGTTCCCCAACACCCACTTCTTGCATGCATTCGTCGAAGTAAATCTTGACTCTTGGGTGCACTGGCTTCGTGCTCCAGTTTGGGCTCCGGGCGGCACTGCGCAAGACGCAAACCGATAGTTGGCTCTTTCGGTTTGAACGGGCAAATTGGTTCTTAGGCTGCGCAAGGAGTCTTCTCAATTTTCGATTTGGGTGGATGATAGCGGAACGAACAATGAATTGTAAGATTTGTAAGCTCACTATACCTCCTGCCCCCAAACCAACCCCAATAGGAGAAACACATCAAATCGGGCAAGCAACGGCCAAGTGCGGATCCAAAGAGCAATCCACGACCTGAAGCGTAGCAAAGCCGATTCTGGTGGCTTATCGACTTTCCTACGATCTAGCTTGCGCGGCTCTAGGTAAAGATTCCAGATCACATCCTTGCCCAGTTGCCGTCAGCACATCACTCCTCGAATCCGAACTTCCAGGGACATCCTGGAACTCCGACCCCGGAAGCCTTGTGCAAAGGCGTTGAAGATGCCAACTCCAACTACTACCGAAGTACAGACTCTACTTGTCATGCTTTCTCTACGTATTTGCCGACGACTGCGCAACCCGTGTGTGGCCTAATATAGGCCCCTTATACGATAGTGACAATAACGAGCCCCCAAAATATTACATAAATAAATAGATAAATTATAATATATATATATACATATACATATACATATATATATATATATTACTCCTATGACGAGTCGACGAACCGAGGAGCCGCATTCAGCATGGTGAAGTTGATGCTGCAATGAGCCACCAAGGCCACCTCGTCCTCCGCAAAAGCTTCCGAGCCCCAAAGCCATAAGGGTAGTTCTCTAAATTAGGGTCCCTTTTTGGGTCCCCAAATATAGTACGGCACCATATATAATATGGACCCTAAAAGGGACCCTAATTTAGAAAACTACCCATAAGCAGACTTCATGAGCCTAATCTGCGCTGTCCCGGTCAAAGGCCGAGGGTTTTGACCGCTTCAGTTTCGAGAGGGTTACCGAGACGAACAAACAACAACTAAAGGTCACGAATTCACTTGATAAGCAATGCAATTGTCAAGGACCAAAGCATAGGCCACGAGTGAGAACATGTCGTACCAAATGCAAAATGCAACTCCGTGCTATATCATTCTTCCTGCAAGCTGTCCGACCAGCATTCTGCTGAGAAGTTTGGAGTCTCTGTTTTGTGCTTTGCTGCTGCTGGCCTCGGGGCAGGTGCGCAGCCATTTGAAGAAGCCTCAGCTCTAACTTCCTCTAACCGGGAATGCTCTATCTACCACGCAGGCCATGATGCAGTTCAACTCTTCGTCTTGCCCTTCGTGGACTGCAGCCCCAGCTGCGATGGAGGCGGGCAACCATGGAGGCCTGGGACTCCCGCTGTGCAGACCACAGCGGGTCCTGCTGCTTCAGCCTCGCTGAGGCAGTTGAGGCTTACACGAGGCAGCACGCAGGCCGCAGGACATCAAAAAGTAAGAGGAGGTGAGGTACTGCTGGGTTGTGTGTTGCGGTGCGGGAATCGCGACACCCCACAAAATGAGGCTGAGCCGCCCACAACAAACGCTCTCGCTGAAGCTGCAGCCGAAGGACAGGCGGTAATCCACGTGGGGGAACTCGTTCCTTGCTTGGCTCACAGTGCCGAGGCGACCCGTCAACAGTTGAAGACACCCCAACGTCCAGACATACAGGAGGCTTCGCCAGACAAGTCTTAGCTTCGCAGATGCGAAGGCATTCAGGAGAAGTATCCAGGATGTGACAAACATCAGAAAACTACGATAGCTGCACGAGCCCTGCGAAACACGTGTCCTGATGGAATTCGCAAAGTGGCATCGTCGACCAGTTGTGCCACCAGTAATCTGTGATTGACTGTTCTCTTGTCTATAGACGTAACAACAATCAAGACCTTATCACAGCCCGGACATACCTCCATGTTGCGATGTTAGCAACAGTCCAACGAGTCAGAATTCAGTAACTACAATGTGGTAGAAACGACATATCCACGAGATCACTGCCGATACCCTGCGAACAAGTCCCGAACTTCCTGAACTTGCTCACATGACCGAAGTGCTGCAGTTCTCGGCGTGGCCGCCGACAGTCGCAGGTGCTGCCACCACCACGTTCGTGAAGACCCTGCGTGCTGCAATGTTGAGAGTTGAAAACTAGGCACAAAGTGTGCGGCTCAGTTTTTGTTTCGTGTCTGCAGCAGCACTGCAGTTACTGCAACTCCAGTCAACATGCAATTACAATACAGGACCGTCCGCAAACCAGGACTTGCACGCGATTTGCTCTGGCCTCGTGGGCCACAAATCGCACACCGCGCTTGGGGAGACCTGGAACTGTTTCGTCCAATCATAGGAAAAGTAATGATCATCATGATGATAATAAGCATAGTCGTAATGATTGACAATGTGGTCTGCCTGACATTTTTGCACCGACGCAGATCCAACCGAGCCACGCGGTGCCTCGAAGCTGCTCCTGGGTCCAGAACCCACTACAGTTTACACAAGGTCTTAAGTCGCCTTGGCATAACACCTCGTGACCATCTCTCAATGTCACGTCTGACTCCGTTTCGCCATTACAACTTACTTCTTGCTTCCGTGTTCCCTGTGGCCGTCAAGCTTGTGCCAACTTTTGAAGGATCCATTAGCTGGTACTTCCCTGCAATCATCCCTTCATGCTCGACTGATGTTGTAGCATTGCTGCTCAAAGCAGCTCCCTCATACTCCATGGAGGGATAATCGATATAGCCTTCTGCCCCAGATGCATAGAAAGTATTCCGGTCGTACCGGTTGAGCCATGGAGGGTCCCTGGTGGGTTCCTGCCGGTCTCTGGAAGACTTGTTCTGATGCCAGGCCTTCAATCGTGCTGGCAAGTCGGGGTTTGAAATAAACCAACGTCCAAACGCGATGGCATCATATCCCTGTCTGTCCCCCATGCAAGCTTCGTAAGAAGTGGCCGGTGTGAAGCCTCCTGCACCAATCATGACACCGCGGAACAGCGAGCGATACTTCTGCAGATTAATCAGGGGCATTTGAAAGCCTGGATCCTTCTCAGGATTGGCATCGTGCTTGCCGACCCATCGGGGCTCGGTGACAAGCAAATACGCAAGCGGATACTCGTTCAAGGCCTGAACAGCATGCGAATAGATGGCATCCGGGTTAGAGTCCGTGCAGCCGTAGAAGGTATTGCCGCCGTTTGGTGCATCGTGTGGGGACAGTCGGACTCCCACTTTGCCATCTGCCCAAGCACTGGACACAGCCTCAACCACCTGTCGGAGTAGCCTACACCGGTTCTCACAAGAACCACCGTATTGGTCTGTACGACAGTTGACTCCGTTGTTCAAGAACTGATCAATCAAATATCCATGCGCTGCATGAATTTCCACACCATCAAATCCAGCCGCTTTTGCATTCTGAGCTGCATGGGTGTAGTCGTCTATGAGCCGCTGCAGGTCTTCCACTGATAGTTCTCGGGGAACGGCAAAATCCCTGATGCCATCGTAGGTGAGCGTTTTTCCTGGCTTCCCATTGCGGTTCACGATCTGCACCTGACTGGCCGATACCCCCGGCCGATGCCGTTCCCCTACATTAGAAGGGTGCTTGGCAAAATCCGGGTGTGCGACGCGCCCCGTATGCCACAGCTGACACACGATCAGCCCACCTCGTTCGTGCACAGCTTGCGTCACCTGCCTCCAAGCTTCCACTTGAGTTGTAGACCATATGCCTGGAGTTGAGGGATACGCTAAAGACTCGGGGCTGATGTGTACCGCCTCAGTGATCAGGAGACCTCCTGGACTGGCCCTTTGTCGGTAGTACTGCACTGCGATTTCCGATGGCGCCAACTCGGGCTCCGTCGCACGGTTTCGAGTCAATGGAGCCAAGACCACCCGATGCTCAAGGGTTCCGATGGAGCCCAGTTGAAGGGGAGTGAATAACTTCGAAGGGGACGATGACATTGCGACAGTATCTACGTAGGCGTCGCTACGGAATTCGAAACAAGGCGAGTGTTGTGACAGTGACTGCAGTGGTGACAGAGGTGGTATTGCGCTGGCGGCGGGCATACTGGCGAGAGAAAGAGCTGCAGCAGTAGCAGCGAACCCTGAACCTAGAAACCTAAAAGGATTTGTTGGGGTCGAGGCTTCAGAGGATCGCAAACGAAAGAACCGCGAATTCGGCATCCGGCTCCAACTCACCCTTTAAGGTTAAAGTGGTCCGTCTGGACGCCCCGAAATCCCCCGGCCACCTACCTTCCTTCCACAACGACTGTTTTAGTGCTAGGGCTTCTGGCTTCGGTCCTTGGCAAAAGGCTTCTGTAAAGTTCTGCGGGCAGACTGCCCTGCCTTCTGGTGCCACTACGACTCAAGGCTTCAAGCTACGGTCTTTCGTTCTTGATGTTGCGAAAGTAGCTCAGATAGTGTTGTGATCTGCTTGTTTGTATCGACATCCACTTCATAGCACAGTACCCAGACGTCCCAATGTCCGGGACAATCGGAGAACTCTCTGAAAGTATGGAGGGATCCTTCCAAGTGAGATGGACTATCGCGGTGAAGGCTGGTTGCCTGATTCGACAAAGCCTGAAAACCCCAAGCCTTGCTTACTTCTTTGATTTGTTTTTTGCTAAGCCCCCGCCATTTACTACGTGGCTGCTAGGAAGGACAATCCCCAACAGTTCGCAGTCCTATACTTCCTTCTCATCCCTGCAACATGATGCCATACAGAGTATGCCCGGCAGGGTTTCGGGCTCAACCGCGTTTACTTCAGATTCAGGAACATGAAAGGTTACGATGGGGTTGAGGATAGTCTACGCGATCAGTACCTGGGAAGCCGTATGGAGAAGCGTTCTACTAGTGCTTGACAGCAACATCCCAGTATCGATGCAACCCGGACCACTGGCGCAGCCACACCTCACCTCCCTAAGCTTATACAATCATATCAACTCCACATCGCTCGTCGCAAGCAGGAGCCCAGAGCACAAAATGCTTCAGCTGGAGCCTTGACCGTCCGAAAGAAAAGTTTTGCAGACACGAAGCCGTTGTCCATGAGGAGGTGCTGGAAGGCCAGAAACGCCGTCTGCGTCGCGCGAGTGATGGGCGAGACAACGATCCTCCGCAAGGGGACGGAAGGGCGCTGGGCTGCACCTTCTCGGGTTAGGGTTGGCGGCCTATAGGGACACAAGAGTATTTGGAGGGCTTAGCTTGGGTCTTGATTTCTGAGTCAAGGAAAGAGGCAGCCCTTAGACAGGCTACAGAGGAGAACCAGGGCCCCGCAACCACTCTCAAGCAATCTCGAGCACGGGTCCGAACGAACAGCGAATTACAGGCATGTTTGCTGTGCATTCCACACTGAGACACCTATCCCGTCTCAGCCGATTAACAGTGGCCATGCCCGAAAACCACAAACCCGTGGTACTGAAGATGGTAGGCACCCTCCCTGCCCGAACTGGTGGTTTCGGCTGAGCGTCAACCTCGGGCTGAGCTGCTGCTGTACCTGCAGAAAGCATCAAATTTCGCGCACCTCAAACAAAGCGAAAAGAAATTCATGATCTCCGGTACTGATGTTCCCTTGAACCGTCGTCAATACGCGGCGTGGGCGTTGGGTTGAGAGCTTGGCAGGCTGTCTTGTGTTTTTTTATCGGGGCAGCGTGGGTTCAACGTTCTGCCTCATCGCAATATCAATCACAGAACACGAGATGCCTTCAATGTGTTCGATCGCCGAAGATTCGCATAGCTGCTCGGGAATGTTGATTTGGAGAGTACTGTAGTCACAACAGCAAGTACCTTGACTGCGACAGCAGGAGCAACAACACGTACAACGGCAGCAACAACCGCAGCAGCAGCGGCACAGCAACCAACTACGATTACGACACCACCACCCGAAAGCCTTTTGCAGGTACTTGTCTGGCACATGCTGGACCCCATTGAAATCTGCCCGTCTACTACAGTTAGCCAAAACTATCACCTGAAATTCCTTTCACCGCGTTGTCTGTGTCTAGACTCCAGATGTCCAGCACCGGGAAAAGACTCCCACACCCTGAAGCCAAGCACCACCGCTCCAAGCCCTCTGCTTTGAAAAATCCCTAATATAGGAGCCTTACTAATTAGAATAGGGTTGGGGAGTATATTATACTATACTTAGAATAAGGAACCCCCCAAAATAGTATAGGTAGTTATTATAGTTATATAGTATAATATACCCCCCAAACCCTATTCTAACTATTAAGGCCCTTGCACTATAGAACCCCTTATGGTAGCCCTTATAGGACCTCTTTAACAGGAACCCTATAAGCACCTGTTCTCATAATCTAGGCCCCTACACTACGGCCGGGCACCGCGTCACGGTTCGCAGCCAAAGCTTCTCCCCGGCCCAAGGCCGTCAGGGAGGGATCCTGAGAATTGGAGTTTAGGGTTTAGGGCTATAGGGGTTTAGGGCTTTAGGGGTTTAGGGTTTAGGGCTTGAGGGGTTTAGGGTTGAGGGCTTTAGGGTTTAGGGATCCGGAGTTGGAGTTGGAGATTTTGGAAGGCGAAAGGGTGAGTGAAGTTCTTTGTGGAAGCGGATTCTGGGGCCTTCTTGATGCCAGATTTGGCGGTGGTCTTGGCTCGCCCGATGGACCTCATGCATGAGTGTGGTGATCAGTATCGCTAGGACCAGCAGCCACGAACAAGTACAGTCCGATCAGACAGGTTTCGCAGCTTCCAAAGCTCGGAAACTTGAATCACTCCAAGACGCAAGAAGCTCGTGGCGCGCCAAAGCTGGGACCAGCAAATCATATTCCTCATGGCTGAAGTGAGCATTTGCAGGGAGGAATCGTCGAAGTGCCGGTGCATTCGGGGATCCTCCTACAGTAATTAAGTTCCATCCAACTCCATGCAGACCTGGCTGGGCAGTGTCCTGCAGGCGCATCGCGCCATGAAAAGACTTCGCAACAGTGGTCACGGCAGAACAGACGAACTCACAACCCCCTGCCTCAGAGGTGCGGGAGGTTCTTTTAATATGGTATACGATAAAAAACGTTCTAATACTACATCAGCTGGCGCGTTTAACGCGTTTGTGGAGCGTAAGTTCAATCCGAGGCTCGAGAGAGTCCACCTGCCGGTCCGGCTGTACACCGACCTGATTGGGGCTGTAGGGCTTTGACAGTTACTTTAGTATATGTACATGGCCGCAAGATAGCCGCAGGAGTGAACGTTCTGAAAGCCAGGTCACGGCTGTATAGATCAAAACAGATCAAAACTGAGTGTGCCTGAACATCGCTGTGGTCCGTTGTCAACATCAATGCTTCCATGACGTAAGATGCCATGCTTTTTTGAATGACCATCAGGTTTGTACAGTCCCCAGACAACGCCTGTGATTTTCGGCAGGGTTAGGCTATCCCTTCGCTGCAGCCCGAATCTCGACCTCTGATTCCAATTGCCAAGCCCGCCGCATGAGTGCAGGCCACCGGCTTCTGGAACATGATTCGCCTTTGCGTGGCTCAACTCAGGGTCAGCCAGGTGTGAGAAGCGAAAGATCCCTTCAACTTCAGCTCCAGCTTCCAGCGGTGAACACCGAAGCTGCCTGGGTGCTTACAGCAGGTCTCTGGCCAAATCTACGCGCTTGGGAAGACAAGGATCAGGGACTCACGATTTCAATGTCGGCATCCATGCCGTAAGGATTTACGCCCGCACTGAAAGCTCCAGAAATAAGCCTGCGAATCCCGTCCGGGCTGCCTGGTCGTCCCCGATGCGGCGATCGTCGCCTAGAGAGGGAAGGCATCGAGTGTGTGGTTTTTGCCGAAAGAGAAGCGCCAACTTTTCTCGTTTCTTAGGATCTCCAAGGTCTACAGAAAGCCATAGAAAGCCGCAGTTCGGCGCCTGTGGCACGGTAGCCCAGGTGGCGCCGTAGTCTCGGCTGGTCGCGATGCGGCAGCTAATCGCGCCTCAACATAAAATCCACAACATTGAGCAAGAACTTGAGAGTTCAGAAGACTGCGCCCAAAATTCCTGAGCGACACAGCCAGCAACGGTCCAGACTTCGGACCCCTAAAGCGGACCCATCAAAAAACAATCACCACGGTGTGAAGCGAATCAGTGGATAGTGCAGTGGTAGTTTCGGGAATCCTCAGCAGAGGGGATTTGGGTGATGTCTAGTTAAACTCCGGACTCTCTTGAGAAATAGCATTAGGACGGCAGACCCAAGCATACAGCTTCAGGTCGCAGACATTTCTCACAAGCGAACTCTCCTGGTCTTTCGCATGCACCGTCAAGCATGCTTCAGGGCTCGGAGAGATTACGGTCAATCATGCAAAAATGCTGAGTGCACTCTCTAAGAACAGCATAGGAGCCAGCAGCCTAATGGCACGTCCGAAGCAAAGAGATCCAGCGTGCTGAGCTGCGCACCGTAGAGTTGCAGGCCCACCACGGTACGCGGTCCGTGCTCAGACCTTCTTCGTAGCGAACGGAAATCAATTGGACTTCTGCGCCAATTTTGATGGCATGTCTGACGATTTGTGCATCCCGCCCCACTGAGCAAAACTCAAGTCACGAGGCTAAAATCACCGTACATTGGTCCTGCTGAGTACTCTGCACAGCACGGAATATAGCATGAAAAGGAAATCCACCGTAATCACAAAGCACAACCCCCAAGAGAACAGCTACATCGCCAGAGTTGCAGCCGAGAACATACTTATACTCGCAGCCTCACCCTAGGCTCAGTGAACATGCTAGGAAGGCAGGGGCACATGGCTGACTCTCTGTAGATTGCCGTCAGTTGAAAGCTCCATGTCTATGTGCTTCTCCAGGTTCGAGCCTCTGCACCCGCAGGCACTCATGCAAGTAGGCCCCCGGACCTTCCCCAAAACATGCCTAAGCCCTCAGCTAACATAACAAATCTTGTGAGCAAGACTCCGAGCCGCAAGTCCTAGGCCAGCTTGCCTGAAGAGCTTGTCGAAAGACTCGCAGATAAACCACCGCTTCCCATCGACGACTTCGACCTAACGGGATTAGGGTCATGGGCTCAGGGTTTGCGGACCAACGCAAAATCCCACATCCTAGGTGCTGTGGAGCACAAAAAACCTGAAGCAAACAATACACTTGTTGCAAGGTTTAACCACAGATACTAAGACTGGCCTGGGTTGTCTCAGGGCTCACGATGCCCTCCATGCCCTCGAACCCTTCCAGCATGTTGTGAAAGCCTGCGACTTGTGATCGACTCGGTGCTCACAACTTCGGTGACTTCAGAATGCGGGTGAACATTTCGATGTTGAAAACATGGTGCTTTGCAGGGGCTCCGCAGCCTAAGCGCGAGACTCGCGGCACTGGCTACAACAACCAGGCATCAACCACCACGCCGAGAACCTAAATCCAGCATAGCCATGGCCAAACTGTGGAGGTTTCCGAAAATAGGGGACCCTAATGTAGTACCCTAAAGCCTTATTATAAGGACCCCAAAATGGGGTACCCTAATTTTCGGAAACTCCCCTATTGGTCGCAATACAATCCCGGCAATCTGCCCCTCTGAAGCTGTGCCCCACGGCGTGCAAAGCCCCCTTTCCGCAGAGTCAGCCTTGACCGTGGCGCAGCAGGTGGACCACCTTGGATTCCACGCCTCGCAAACTTGCCGAGATCCCGGGAGTGGATGAATGCGATCGAGAACCAAACACATTAATGAAGGGCTCCTTTATATTTTAACTACGATAAGGAACCCAAGGGAAGAGTAGTGGTCACTTTTAGGCAACTATATGTAATCCTGAACTCAACCATAGCCCGGTAGCAGTGGCAATGAAAACCGAAACCCGCTCAAGTTCACAATCATGAGCCGCTGCAGAATTGTTAGAGACACTATCACTGAAGGACATGGGGCCAAAATCCAAGCCAAGACCCCCAAACTGTAGCCCCCAAACCCCTCTCTCTCTCTCTATATATATATATATATTTATTAAGCCCTGAAACCCAAAACGTCCAACTGTTGATCAGCCTAAAACCAGCCTTTGGAAGCCCCGTGCAAAGGCAGCCCCCGCCTGGTGGCACTTCTCGGTCTATGCCTGAGTCTGGAAAACCGGTAGGGTTTAGGGTTTAGGGTTTAGGGTTTAGGGTTAGGGTTTAGGGTTTAGGGTTTAGGGTTAGGGTTTAGGGTTAGGGTTTAGGGGAAGGGCGACGTTTCCGGAGCTTTGGGGCTGACAGGGATGGAGTTCTTGACGGAAGCTTGGTGCGGAGGATCCTTTGGATCTTGACGGCCTATGGCACTTAGCACTGTTCAGGATCTAAAGGGATTATAGGAGCTTCAGTATCTTTGACTGAAGTTCAAGATCCTTAAGATCGAGGTCGAGGGAGTGGGGATGCTTGGAGTTTTGGCATTTTTGCCAAAAAGCGAGGACTTGAGGTTGGGCGGCCCGGGCCTGGCCTTCAGCGCTTTGGAATTTGCTGGCCTGACAAGGTTTAGTTTAGAACTCCTTCGCCTGATTTACATTGATTTACACCACTGCTACACTCGTGTTGAAACCGCAGAGATCGTGGGTTCGACTTGGGGTAGCCTTCCTAGCTTTACAATCAACTGGGAAATGCCTTGTCAGTCGTGGGTTGGGGTTTTCGTGAGCACTGACAGGCGCAAGGGCTTCGTCTGTCAACTTACCTCACCGTCGTCCTGTCTGGTTCGACCGATGCGATGACCAAGCCATGTCGAATTCAACAGGTGCTCGTTTCAAGCACTCCTTGTCCGGCTGAGCCCCATGATAGGATCCCATTGCGATATCGCGAGATGGCAGTGGCAATCTTGGGCGGCGGCTTTGGGCTTTCACGCGGACGTCCCGGACGAAGGCATTTAGCAATGCATTCACTGTGCCCTGGTCCTGGCGAAAGAGCCCGCAACCGACAATCTACGGCCCCTATCGACACGATCCGCATCTGAAATCCTAGGAGAAGAACTTGCACTGATCGCTACCTTTCTCTTGCGACCCCAAAGTCCTCGAATTCGAAGAGCCGCTTCTCGCCGCTCGCTGCCTCGATTTGCTGACCGATGCCGTCATCGCTGTTGCTGTCGTTTGATGATGTGCTGCGGTCTGCATGGTGCGTTTTCGCTCTAGGCTCCGGTGATGCGGGCGACCGGATGCAAGACGAAGGTTAGCCTTTATCGTGAAGCCACCTACAGAGCGATGTTGATGATGACGGTGATGATGAAGATGGCGATGCTGGCGGCGACAACGACTTCCACTGTCTGCACAGTGCCCTAAGCTTCAACTTCCAACTCTGAGGCCAAACTGGCCAAAACAAGCCCTACCCTGTCCGGATCTATAGACTCTGCCACAAAGTGGTCTGCACATGGCAAGTCGGTCCATGTCTGACGCGAGGCCCTCGTACGCAAACAGTTTCAACGGGATTGGCCACCACATGACATGGCGTTTCGACTGAGTTGCGGCTTCTGCGTACTCCTTGGCACGCTCGGGGTGCGCCTGCAGGGGGCTTCGACGTACAGCTGCGTAGTGCTTGAAGTTCATCGTGCGTCTTCAAAGCTTCAGGTTTTGCTTGCACAGTTCCGAAAACGTCTTGTCGAGGCAATTGCAGTTTCCCCTCTGCTCGGCCTTTCGCCAGAGTAGCTGCTGTAGCTGTGCGGCATCTTCCAGCGCTTCCTCTTTGGCCTGCGGAAATGCAACAGTGCCAATGGCCAATAATAGTTGTTTTGTGATTTTGATTCAATATCTGTTCTTGCGCTTCTTCCCTAACTACTTCTACTGCAGCTGCCGTTGCCACACGACCACCACGACGACGACCCCCCATTTCGCAATCCCCAGCCCTGTGATGACCCTGACGAGTGCTGCGGCCTGTGTCAATTGTCGTTATGACGATGATGATGATGATGATGATGATGACGGCGATGATGGTGGTGGCGACAGCCGCAGTGATAAGCATCTTCGCGGGCATGTATATGTATTCTGTCGCCAGTGGTGACAGGGAAGTCTCGAAACTCATCATGACGAAGTGGGATCTACCTCAGGATGCCGGGCCCCGGTGGGACGCATCGTTGGACTTGGCGCCCCAAATCGCATCCCTCGTGTTGCTACACAGTCATGACTGATCACGATTCACGCAGTCATTTCGCTACTATGGCAAAGGCGAGCACCTGCTCGCACATAAGAGGCCTTTGCTCATCGACATAAACTGAATAAAAGAATATGACATCATGTTCTAGTCTTGAAAGGCACCAACGTTCACAGATTTTCGCAGACCTATACTACCGAAAGATGGAACCCAGAAGAAGGACCTCGAAGCGCTCAAGAAGCACACTTGGTGGCAGTTGTGGAGGCTCTTGGTTGAAAACGAGAAAGACAGGAGCCGGGACTGTTCCCTGAACTATGCCAGCGAGGTGCGCGCTGGACGCCGGCAGAGTCGGATGAGCCTCCAAACTGGTTGCAAACTTCTAATGTATCGCAGCACCCTGCCGTACCGTACAACTCCTGAACCCGATGTTTCTTGGAACCTGCGACCGGGCACAGGTCCTCGTGGGAAGTTGGCCATTAGTCGTCTTGAGGAGCCTGCCTCTGCGAACATCCTACACCCAACAACGGGCGCCCACAGAGGGCAAGACGTCGTGAGTTGTGAAGGTTTCGGGCTGTCGGGATCAGGATTCACAGTCTAGTTCGCGCAGGAATCTGCAGCGCAAGCTGATAGCAAAAGGGGAAGTCGAACCCGACGGACTGAAGTTCCCAACACCTTAAAACCCCCTAAAATTGGAAAATACGCTACAGGACTGCCGCGATATATCAAACCCCAAGCCCTACCAGTAGGTTCGTCCGGCTACTTGTTTCTATTCGTGGGAAAAGGTATACTTTTTTTCGGTACGGAAAAATGTAAACGCGGAAGCATTCTTACTTAGTCGATTTCAATCCACTGAAACAAGGTTGCTTCGATCATGCTTACGGGCTTCAAACATACTCAGAGGAGTGGAATAGTTATTAACATTTCGAGCCAGCGGGAGGGCCAAAACCGTGCTGTGCGCAAAAAGTAAGCGGTACGCCTAAAAAGTAAGCGAGTACGGGTAAATGTCGACATCTGAGTACGGCTATTTTTCACCAAAATGTCGACATAGTTCGGGTTGGGTACGGGTACGGGTTGAGTACGGGTCGTATTTGCAACATATTTGTTGACATTTTGGCCCGGTACGGGCTAGTGCGCTTTTTTGTGTCCGCAAAAAAATACGTTTCGTACTCTCCGTAAGCCCCACACTTGGGGTTTGGGACCATCGGTTTCGGATTTGCAGGATAGACAATCTGCAAAACGAGCCTTGACAAACAGATAAAATCGATCCGAACATAAGCCAAGAAAAAACTAAACCGAAATAAACAGTAGGCGGTAAAAGTAAAAAAGTAAACGTACAGCGCAGAATAGACAAAAGTACACGTTCGAACTCACTGGTAATGCAGTTGAAGAGATTCTTCAGGCTTGTCAACTCCCTTGCAAGCCCCCGCACCAGCCACCTCTTTCTGCTGCGCCGAGCTGCTGTGCAAAAGCCTGGTCCAATCATGGCCTAGCCCTTCTTTGCTTGTTCCTCCTCCGCTTGCTGGCACCACGCATTGTCTCCTTCTGACCAATGCAACCACCGCTAGTTTGATCTTCACTCCTGTTTCCAACAAGATCAACTGCTATCAACACCGCTTCTACTACTGCTGCTGCTGCTGCTGCCGCAACCACTACGACGACTACGACTACGGCCTCTGAGTTTCAACAGTTTTGCTGATGACGCAAAGAATACTCACAAGATTATTAACAACACTACGAACAACAACAATCATTTCGTCGTGCTTGTTGTCTCCTCAGTGACAACGACGAGCGATGCGATTATGTATTCGGACTACGAGTTCGAGGTGCTATGCAAGACTTTTTATAACTAGAGGCTCTCTTCGACACTGTAGATTCTCCGGGAGCCTACGATTCAAGATGCTTTCGAAATTATGTCAGCCCTCGTTCCTGCCTCAGCGAGTCGCTCGGCTTCGGTCGGCTCCTGCGCCAGAGGTCACTGAACAAATTATGCTTTCTTTGTTGTACGAATATTGGCTTCAAGGCTTTCTAAGTCGCCCTCGAGAGCATAAGGCTCTTGGTTTATATTTGCAGCCAGAAAAAAGCCGAGGCAAACGTGTGCAACGTACGCTTTTGCCAGGAGCGTCTTCAAGCAAAACCACCATGACCAAGGTTGCTCCACACGCATCGCTGTTTCATACTTGCCCAGAGACGTTTCCAACTCAGAATCACAGGGTGGCCAACACCCTGATTGGATCATATTTATCTTCCCCCCTCGAATGAAGAAGCCTGGTAGCGACGCATGCTCTAAGAGTTCGAGACAGGCATGCTGAACCACAAGCATGTCAGCGAAGATGACAACTTGGGGCCCAAGCACAGAGACTCCTTGCTCCACGCATTGCCACGCCCTTTGCAACATCAATCCAGCCCACCAACGGTTTCGGACGGTTTCATTGGCGGGTGCCTCTACGTCCACAGCCACGGCTCGGCAGCCCGGGCCTCGCGCCCTTTCTGGGCGACGGAGAGCGAAACAAGCCTCGTGGCATGAAGTGAGGGGGCTTCTGCGGTGCTTGTTTAAACGAACCACGAACTCTGGAAGTCTTTGCGAAGCGCCTTCTTTACTTGCTGCAGGACATGAAGTGAGGGGGCTCGGGGACCATAATGAACGCACCATCAGCTGCCTATTTTCAAATGGTTCCGCGGCACATATGGGGATGGGCAGTCCAAGAATACCATGCGGGATCCTTCAGGGACGCTCTGCAAATGATCAGGGGCAGGACCCTCTGCGGGATACTCTGGGTATGGGCAATCGAGACATACTGCTCAGAGAGGAGCAGCAGTGGAGAGCAGGAGAGGAGAGGGGGGGACGAGGGTTGGAAAACCCAAACCCCAACACAAACGAGCCACGAATTCTGAAAGTCTTTCAGAAGCGCCTTGCTAACTTGTTGCAGGACTCGGGATGAAGCCATTCTCCAACACGCTTCTGTATAGGGTTGGGGAATGTATGCTTTTGCCCTGTTTGTTGGATGTTGCAGGTCTCATGCTTTTTGTGGTGTTTTGACTGTTCTTTGCAGGGTTTGTGTTGTTCGTAAAGGATTGTCTGGGACCTCTCTGCATGCATCTGACACAAGCAGAGATGAGTGGCTCAGAACCCGCTGCATGCTCTTCTTTTATATATACATATATGTCATAATACTAGTATAGTACAGTATAGCACAGTATAGTACAGCATGACATGTTTTACTATATTGTAGCTGTATAGTATCGTATAGTATAGTATGGCTTAATAAGTATAGCATGGTATCTTTCAGTATATCGTAGCTTATTATACCTCAAGTGGGTTTACCTACCACTCCTAGCCCGAAGCCTCAAGACCCCAAAGCGACGGGCAGGGAACCGGGAGTGTCAGGACGTCCCCGCCTGACAAACGTCCTATATAGTAAGGTTCCCCCTCTTTTGAGGACCCTGGAATTTAGGGTTTAGGGTTTAGGGTGATCCGATTCATCTACCACTCTTTTGGGGAACCCGCCCTCCCCCCAACTCTGTGCTGGTGCAGACCGGCGGCGGGGCACAGCCACAGAGGCGTGATGCATGACGCCGGAAACCGTCGCAGTGCCCGGTGCTGGATTCTGGCATGCAGCTCCATGACAACAGCTCCAACGCATTGAAACATGTGCATTCCAGGCACTCTAATTACCCATGCGTGACATCGACAATCCGAAGTGCCGAAACCTGCCCTAGCGCCCTACATCAATCCGACGGCTGAGCATGGAAGTGGTACCAATGGAACTGCAGCGCACATGGATGACTCGAAGTGGATTCTCCCATGCCCAGGGCAAGCTTAGTGGCATGATGTTAAAGCCCAAGAGAATCACACCGTCAACCTATTGACCCAGTCATCAAACCCTGTGGGGGGCAGTGCGAAAAGCGAGAAAACTCGCTCAGCTCTAGCACCGAGTTGTGAAGCGAGCTTGGTAACGTACATAGTGCTAAACGATGCAAAACTGCTGAGGGCTGCAAACATTTATTCAAATATGTCAATCTGCAGACTTCACTCCCATTGCCTGGTTTCGCAGGGCGGCCTGGAACGAACTGGCACAGGTGAGGCCACGGCGCTTGGGAGCATCGCCGCATCAGGAGGCTCCAAGAGTTGGTGCGTTGTATGCATGCAGAAAACACCGGCATAGTTCCCTTATATTGTGGTGCCCCCCAACTGCACACACACACACACACAGGCACTGGTAGCAATCAGGCTCCATGCGCAACTTGATTCGCCGCTTGCATCGGGGCAAGTTGAGGGCCGGCAGTCGGTTTGGCTCGTAGAGGGGGTGGTCCATGTCTGGGCAGTCTGCGGGTGGAGTTGGCTTAGATCCGGCTTCAAAAGGCTTGGAAGGAGGCCAACACGATGGCGGGAAGCCTTTCGCCACATCCATAACGGCATCGGTTCGCGGGCATAGAGCAGAGCCGATCATCAACAATCCGCTGGCTTCTAACATCCCTATGGTGGTTAGCGGTCTGCAAACGACTGCAAGGGGAATGCGGGTCGTTCGTCGTCAGAATGGCACCAGACCGTCCCTTGATGCGACGGCTGAGTCACCCAGCGACTCGAACCTTCTACTTCTACTTCTGTCAGCATGACCTGGCAGCAACAGAAGTTAGCCCAAACCCGAAAACCCTGGCATGGCGTCTTTGGCAGGCTTCCCAGCATGTTATCGGTAGTGCTAGCAGCGCCGCACGTCGCCTTCGGCGACATGCTGCAGATTCAGAAAGCAGATTGAACTTTACGACTTTCGGGGCGGAGGCTGCGATGACGGCCCTCACTGTTGCAGCAGTCGAACATATTCAAACTATAGTAGTCGGGGGTTGATCAGCTGATGGAGCTCTTGCCATCAATCTTCTGTGCAGAAGACAATAGGGCGAACCTTAGACAGCCTTAGACTCATGGCCGAAGTTCAGGTTTGCAAACCAACCCTCCTGACGCCTAAACGACATACGATCTCAAGCGTCAGAGATCGAGTAGCCCGGAATCCTAGCCAATTCTAGGCACTTTATCGCAGCTCCGGGCCGAAGGTGTGCGGAGCATTGGCAGTCACTGGAGCATCTCTTCTTATTCACCTACTGAAGGGCTTGGGGTTATAGTTTTAGGATTCATGCAGGGACTTCGGATTTAGGCTCCAAGCTTTGATTCTTCGTCTGAGGGAGATCCGGCTCCTCTTGGGGGGGACTGCCAAAGTATCCGCTGAGGGCTTCCAAGAGGGAATGCAGTACGTTGCACAAATCTACTCAGCAGGTAGTTCGGAGCCGTCGGGCTTCAGGATGAAGCAGAGGCTAGAGCGGATCAAGGGCTTGCTTTGTCCGCAGTGCTGGGTCTGTGCGACACTCAGGAATCTTTCCCCAAGTTGAGGTGGACGAGTCATACCAATCCCCTCAGCATACCCTCTTGGCAAAGCGGATGCCAAAGACGACCAACTCCTCCGTCCGTGTAACAGCAGGGTCCTAAAAAGTCGTGTGCCAATCAATGGGTTTAGCACTCAGAGAATGAAGCGATGCTGCCGATGTTTATTCAGATCAAACATCCATCCCTCGGAGAATATGTTGCGCTCATCCTTCCAGCAGCCCCACCCACATACACCTGTTGACAAGACGACTCGTCCGATCAAGTTACTGTGATCCCACTGACTTGGCCCGTGGATCGCGGCTACTGACTGAGACCCCAAGTTTGCAGAGTAATTACCGGTATACTCAGGATACTGTGCAACAGCAGAAGCATCAAGGTGTTAAGAACACCCTATCCGCTACCAAGTGCGGGTCTATACCCGGCCGGGTATAAATCTCCAGTACGCAGTAGAACCAATTTGTGTGCTTCTGTGTCCTCATCAATGCAGAAATTCGTCCAGGACTCCTCAATCGAATCCAAAACGAAACCATCGCAAATGCTAGGGCTTAGGGGGTTGAGAAGCCGGAGGCTTTGGAAAACAGCGCAGGCTACGCATGGCATCTCAGGTGCACGGATACCCCAGCGTTTCAGGCAGGCAAGGGGGCCGTACATCTGTCTAGAGTCTAGAGTCTAATCTCGGCCACCAGTACTATCGCTGCCAGCCCCATGCTAATGCTTAATACTTACGCAGAGCTCTTGCAACCCCTAAGAGCTGATTTCCGACTTACGAACTTGACTGCATCGTTCGGGCATTCAGGCAGAGCCGCAACACTTGTTGATGTTGTGGCTCGGATCTCAGAAGTTAAAGGGTTCATGGATTCCGGGATCGCTCACCAGGCCGGCCGTGCCGTCTAGGGCAAGGATTCGCATTTCTGGGCCTGGGTATGCCCTAAACCTGCACGGAAAAAAACTGCAGAGGCCAACTAGGGCGATGGCAGGGAGGAGGGTGGTTTCTCTTTGTGATTCGCAGCTTGTGTCTCGAGGCTCCTACATGAGGGTCGCTCTACAGTTTTGAGGTCAGCGTTATGTCTCTTCGGTACCTTAAGGACTTGGCCTTGGACTAGGCTGGGATCCTTAAGATGCCCATACGACCCCCTATACTTTGCCTGAAACGAGGGGCATGCGACGTCAAGGGGCATTTTGCCCCTGCTAGGTTTGGCTTGGCCCATCGGTCGCTCCAAATCTTCGTAGCAGGCATGAAGAGAGCTGTCTTCTGATCCCGAGCCGCAGCACCTATACTACCTATACCTTAAGAACCCAAAACCTACTTTTTTGTAGGGTCCCTATAAATCCCATATGAGGGTTTATAATAAGAACCTACAAAAAAGTAGGTTTTGGGTTCTTAAGGTACTTCCGAAACTGGGACTTCGGGCATGACATCGATCTTGATCCCTGGGGTTATGCTGGAGGACGTGCCAAGGCGAGCCTACCTAGGCATCTGTGCGAGTACAAACTGCATCCCACAGCCATGAGTGTTTGACGGAACCACGGAACCTCAGTTAGCGAGAAACATCCTAGTGCCTGTGAGCGCCATGACCTTTCATACCCTATTCGCTCAGCCTACGCTCTCACGTACGCATCTTGCATTCCGAAGCCTCAAAAACCCAATCCTCTCCACCATTCTACACCTGAGTAACCTGCAAGCCCCTTCTCTTCAGAGAAGTCTTATAACATTTGAGCAGCCTCCGCCTCTGCGGCTGAAATGCAGACTTCGTATCGTCGGGCTCCCAAACCCTGAGTTCGAAACCGGAGGATTTGGACATGTTTTCGGACTCCCGCATTGCCGTCCGAGATTTGGATCTGCGAAATGTCTGGGGCTGTCTGAGTTAGCCACTGGCTCGTCTGATGTATTGTACAACTCAAGGAGTTATGCCTTGGCTCCGAAGCCTGAGCTCATATCACATAAAGGGGTCAAGATGACTTGACCATGTAGAATGTCGACTCTACTACACACTTATGAGCAAGGAAGGATGATAGCCGCCACCATCTCCTAACAGCACAGCACATCGAAGCTGGTGACATCGCTGAATCGGTTGGCGCAAGCCTCTTGCGTCCCTACCCTCATGAACAGACGGAAGAAAACCAAGCACTGACGGTGAAGCGACAGCATTGACATGGTGTCGGCTGTTCTATCTTACCAAGGCGGTGCAGTCTATCAAACTCTACAGCTTGAGGCGCTTCTTGATACTGGTTTATGCATAAGTTCTGTGTTTCAAGATACTTTACGATGAGGCTCTTAGGCAGGAGGTAGTTTATTGAAAGTAACACTGGCAAACGTACCGAAAGTACCACGCCTGTCACCCGAAACTGGGTTTAACATAGGATTGAACATCTACTGAAGCAACTTGTCGTGTGACATGCCAAATCACATCATCACATGTCCTTACATGTCATGATCCATTACATCGCATGTTATGTCATGTCATGCCATGTCATCTCCTATCATATCAGGTCAAATCATGTCATGTCACACGATGGGTTGTTGCAGTAGATCCTCAATCCTCTGTTAAGCCCTGTTTCATGTGACAGGAGGCGTGGTACTTTCGGCACGTTCGCCAGTGCTACTTTCAATCTTCTCCTTCCCGCGTAACAAGCCTCTCAGGGTCTAGAATCCACAACACCGAAACAAGAAGCGCAGAAACCCTGCGTTTTCCAACAGTTCTCTGAACCAAAATCTTCGATCTCGGAAAGTGAGGCATTGATACCACGAAACCTCGGCATGCGCGGTGCATGCTCAGTACCACCTCCCCCCTGTGGGGTGGTTTATCATATCATCCGATATTCTCAACTGAACTCTAAGCTACACCTCCCGACAATCCCAAAACGGCTGTCATGCAGACCGGCGGATGCGGGCAGGGACGAAGGTCGCGTTCTTGAATTGGGGGTTCACTGTCACCTCAAAAACCATTCGTCTCCTCACTTCGTCTAGATGTAAGCAGCCACAACCAAGGTGTACAACATGAGGCTTTCCAAGGATTTCGACCGACCAGCAAAGCTACGTAAGGCTTCCAATCTACAGGACAAACAAACAGTAGTTTGGCATGTCCACCTGCCGAAGCAACATCGACATCCAAGTTTCGAAGGGCCAATTTGATGGAGTCGTCGTCATCGTCGTCAGCGTGGTCAAAGTCATTGTCTCGAGTTTCGCTTTTGTTACCCTCATCATCGCCGCCGACGCCGAAATCTGAATGGCAGGAATACCAAGCAGCTAACAATAGGGATAGCAAGGTAGAAACAGCGCGACTTATCCTAAAAAAATAATAGAACCCAGGCTTCTAGCGTTACATGTCCAGAGCTCTGACCTTGAGGATACAAGGCATCGCCCCTTCCGCATCACACTTTGGCCTCACGCCACCACCCTGCGCATGTTGTGTGTATCTGTTGGAGCTTGCAGAGTAGGGTGCCGGGATTTTCGCCCTTTGGAAGAGGCTGAAGCTGCTGAGCCAGGATCGCTAACTAGCGTGGGTGGTTTCAGGTTGGCGTCGAAGGCTGAGGAGAGCAGGGCTTGGTCCAAAAGCTAAGCTGCAAGCCAGGCCGGTCTAGGAAATCCGAAATCCATAGGCCATTGGACTCCTGACATGAGAATTGGACTGAAGAGCACTCCGAGAAAATCAAACACCCTCCTCGGCTCCTTCCTCCCATCCTCCGATTCTTTCTGGTGGCTACGGCTATGATGCTCTAGGGCATGAGGAGCTTACAGGAGCTTTGCAGGAGCTTGCAGAGCATACTGAACTGTCTTCGGAGCTGTGCAAACCTGCATTACTTTGAGATACTTCCAGCCCTTCGGTTGCTGTGTTTGACTACTCGAGCCACCATGCTTGGGGGCACTATTTCTGCTAAATCCCCTGAAAGCGCAAGTTCGGAGTCCTCAACCTTGAAACAAAACATGAACTCGTCTCCTGCCTCGGGTCAAACACTTCGACGCCTGCCATTGGTGGGCACAGGGCAGAAACGTCTGGTAGCATCGGGCCCTTCATTTGCACCTCATGTACCATGACGGCTCATGATGGAGTAAGGCTTGCCTACGAACAAGGGTCCTGGTTACCCCCAAAGTCGTGTCAACCGGCAACGGACATGTGTTGATCTCAGATCTTGTTTAGGTCAGCGCAAAGAAGGCAGACACCCGCCTGGAGTCAGTTTGCTCGACAGGGAGGGCTTCGACAATATCAGAGATCTGACCTCAGATGGAACAGCTCCCGATCCCGATCATGGGGGTCAAGTGCTCCGTGCGCTAGCTCGAAAGCACCGAAAACAACTGAACCCTACCCTAGGCTGTAACCCGATTCCGAATCCGGTACCAAGAGAACGCAGCTCCTTCCTGCCCTCGCCAAGGCGCTCTCCAAGAAGTCGCAAAGGGCTTCGAACCTCATGCTCTGCTTCCTCGGCTGCCGCAGGATCGAAAGCGCCCCTAAATCCCTTATCGGCGAAACACCGAAACTAAACAGCCTTCAACTTCTAAGCCCTCACCTGGAAACCTTGCGGCCGGGCTGCGTTGTATCGTACATCAGTGCCATGATGTCCAGCTTCGTCGCCTCGGCCAGAGTAATCCGGATCCAACAACAAATACAATGCCGCGAATGACAGCTCAGCCCAGCTGACCAGCAAACACAAGCTGCTCCGAAGCTTGATTATCAGCACGCATCAAGCAGGAGACATCGCCGGGGGCGTGCAAACGGGAGCCAAAACAATTGCAACCCTCATGTTCATCGAGGCTGACCTCCAAAGGGCCACTCTGCACTTGAAGCCCTGAAGGTAGCAGCACTGCCCGACAAACAAATGTAAAGGCGGCCAGCATCAACGGCAGCATTTACGCATGTAAAATGTTGCTGGCAATGGAAGCTTTCGGCCAACGGAAGTCACGAAGCTCATTCCAGCCGGGCAGCATAACCTTTCAATTTCATCGTGCCGTGCACAAACTCCTTGGAGGACAAGGCTGGCACTACATCTGTAATCTGTCAGCCTCTGCCACGGCGCCCGCAGTGAAAGCTTCGACGAGAAAGCTGCATGATGCTAGCCCGAACCCTAACCCTAAACACTGGGATTGCTCCGAGACGACGAACTAGCCGAATGAGGGCCCCCTATGCGAAGCAGTACAAGCTTGTCTGAAAGTAGATCCAACAGCCAAGGCTCCTCTATGTCGATGTCACCGTTGCAGTCGGAGTCCAGCAAGGTGAAGATGATCTTTGTTTCATCCGGATCGATGTCCAGTCCCGAAAAGTACGCCTTCACCTGATTCTTGGCAAGACTTGGCTGAGGAAGGTGCTTCTCAGGTATCGGGCTACAAGGCCTGGCTTTGGATTCTTTGGATCTTGCGCACAGTGGAACCTCTGGGGCTCCGTGCGACAGGATTTGCCATGTGCGCTTGGAACTCCTCGTAGGTCAGCGTGCCTGAGGCATCCTGAGCAGAAAGCTGAAAAAGCCCCGGGAAGAAGAAACCCAGACCCGTGGGAATCTGGAGGCCTGCGTTTCGGAGCCTCGCCCTTGGCTCTCTTGCATGACACAGCAGATCCGAAGCCGGCCTTGTCGGCCTTCTTGAGGAAACCCTTGATGGACTCGGTCATTGATCTCATCTCGTCCAAGTAACCCTGGAGATCAACTACGCTGAAAGAAGGCAACACATGGCGGCACTCACTCACTCACACTGTTGGACGAGTCTGGCTGCGCAGGCTCTGACCTTAAGAGAGGCGCCTTGCCCTTCAATAAGACACAGATCATCACAGGTCTGAGAGCATTCCCTTACCTCTGATCCCGGTCCAAAGCACGCAAGCCTATCAAGCTTCAGTTCTACGTCTGCCTGCACGATCTCATCTTCGGTTCGGGTACAGACAGCGCTGTCCTTGGGTAGAAGTTCACTGAGGCATTTTTTGAAAAGTCTGGTGGGCGGTGGGCTCGGGAAATATCTGTCCTCGCTTCTCATTGAGATGCCCTGCAAACGCTTCTACTTGTAGAAAAAAACACATGCGGTGGCCTTAAGGGTTTCTCACCCAGATTATCAACATGTGCTCGGGCTTTCTGAGCCCTAGAAACTTTGCAGGAACAAAGATCTCAGACTCTTGGATTTCGGTCCCGGCAGGCAAATCCCAAAACCCTGCAGTGCCGGGCTGAGGCTGAGGCTCATGCGTGCATGCTTAGGCTCATAGGAGTACATAGATTGAGATCTGAGGCTATTCTGTCTTTTGTCGGTCGTGGGGTATTCTGCTTACAAATCTTCTTCACGAGGGATCCCCAATCCCGAACCTGTACATCTGCTGCTTCGCAAATCCGGCTCGTCTTCTCGAGTCTGACCGCCCCACCGGACGACCGCTTCTGAGAAACAGTCCAAGTGGCGACGAAAACGCCTGTCACCACGTTGAAGAGTCCGACAACGCAGAAGGCAATGTAGAAGTTGAACATGAGGAAATAGAAGTCCCCCATACCTTTATGGGCGGAGGTTTAAATTCTAAATGTGGTGTTCCGTAGGAGGGATGACCTCACAATCCACTTGCATACACGTTTATGTATTACTGTAACACTTCTCCTGCACATTGGCAGCCTTTCCGGGCATCCAGCTTTTCCGAAGAGTTCAGACATGATCGGCTGTGGGTTTCCTGGCATCAAGAATCAAAAATGTCCTGTTGTCTGCCAGACGGACTATGACTTGAGTTCTTTCTGTCGCCCTGTGTGGCTACTTAGGGTCGCCGAGCAGAACGACTTCACTGGCAGACACCGAATTACATGCAGAATCCTGTGCCGTGCTGCTGATTCCATGGAGAACTTCTGCGTACTGATACCAGTCGTTGCCACCGCTGACTGCCTCGCAGATTCTGGACCCCACTCGAAGCTACCAAGCCGAGAGACGAGCGCAATACCTTTTAGCAGCCAGCGTGTCTTGAACACCAACTGTCGACCCCACGCCAAACCATCATTTCTCAACCCAATGCCCCAGCTCAAAAAGCCTTAAACCCTGTGCTCCGACTCCAACTCTCCCTGTGGATCCGTGCCACTTCGGAAAGACCTGCACAAACCCAGATTGCGAGACCGCAAGAACCTCCGTAGCGGCAACAAGAAAAGGAGGCGGTGACGAGGGAGACAGGACGAATCGAGAACTGCTGATGTTGCTGCACCGCAGACAGCTGCGACAGCCACTTCTAGTCATTCTAGTCTTCTACTGATGTGTAGGGCACTGCCGGTAGTCTGTATTGCCATTCATAGCCAGGCCACGCTCCAAAGCGAGATCATAGAACCTGGGAGAGGAGACAACATGAATTCTACCCACCTCAGGAAAGGGCCACAGCGATGCGACTATGACAGGAGGTCAACGATTGTGTCACTGGGGCTGGAGACGCGGCGTCTCGGGGTGTTCGAGGAGTGCAAGGCTTGAGATCGCAGGCTGTCGGCAAGCTACGTTGACTATCAAGGGTCTGATGATAGCAAGTCGGACCTCGTGATAGTTAAGAGGAGGCTGCCCTAGCCAACCTTCATTTTCCTGGACACCGTTACCGCTGCGCAAAGTATGCAACATTAGAAGGGCCACAGGATGCAGTTGGTCGCCTGCATCATATGACACAAGCTCTACATTCGAGCTTGTTACAGGCGTTAGATAGAACATGAGCGGGCTTGCAATCGAGTTGCGGAACAGCGTACCATAATATTTGTTGATTTCAATCGCATCTTCCATCTTGTCGGCGTGCGCAGGGTTATCGATCTGCAAGCGACGGCTTCGGGCTGCATCGTGTTAAATGCACACTTCATTTGCCATCCCGGCATGGGGGGGTGCCAATAAAGCCCTGCTAAACAAGCTGCGATTGGCAGCTGTCAGGACTGCTGGTGCCTCTTCAATCGTTCGGCACGTAGCTTAGGCTTAGGAGTCGTCGGCTTTTGTTCGTAGAGCTTTCTGGGTTTGGGCCGCAGGTGTGCAGAGGTTGTCGGGTGTAAGGACTGGCTCAGGCTTCCCGAAGTGATTCGACTTGAGGGGCTCATAAGGTTGAGAAGTCAATCCGTAGAGAGCTGAGCATCGACTCAAAAGTCATAGAATGCGTCATATTTGCAGGCTCGAAGCCTTGCTTGCATTTTGGGGACGGGGAATCTGTGCTCTTTGCAGGGGGGTCAGTGCCGCAAGTTACCAGCCTCAAAACAACCAGACGTCCTGATTTTATGAGAGGGGGCTGCGCAGTAAGTGTCTGTAGATGAGCTGCAACTGCAGGCCCAAGAGAACAGACTGCTCCCCATGCCCCGTTTCCACTGAGACATGGTGCCCTGCACTCGGACATCTCCACGAAAAACGGGGAGCTTCAAACATGCGAGGCACCTGAATGTCATCGAAATGTGCTGCCACTGCCTCAGCTGCGAGAGCTTCGCCTACCAGCACTTGGGCCTGTTTCTTTTCGAGGTTTCGAATGTGAGGATTTGAGTTCATACACGGTCCTTGTTCTTGTGCCCTTGGCGGGAAAGGGCCGGTACTTTCCTCCTATCCTGAAACCTGTGAGGGAAGAAGGGTCTTGCAACATCACGCCGCCTCGAGTCTTGCTAGACTCAGCATTCGTCTGCAAGATGTTCCTTAGTGACCTCCAACCCAGGGACAAACACCAAGGCGTTGACCTAGTCCCCGAGACCAGTACTGCTTGGTGAAGGAACCCTTCGACGACTCGCTGAGCAGCAAGCCATGCCAACAGAAAATAGGAGCTTCTCTAAAATTCGAGCCGTAAGACTGTAAGAAGGCAATACCTACCAGTCCGAACGCCACGGGAGATCCTCGTCCAAGCTTGCAGCCACAGGCGCATTGTTGAACACCAAGCTGAAAACAAACACCTTCAGCGCCAGGAGATACGTGAACAGAATGGGGTTCTTGGGGTATCTTGAAGCACACTAATAATAGCTATACTAGTGGCTATACGGTTCATGCAAGGGTCATACCCTGATCGAACTCCTGTTGAAGTGGCGAGGCTTGGGTCCTGCAGGACCGTGGGATGTGGAAGTGGCGAATCTCTCTGGGCCTTAAAGTTTTATGTCTAGGGTTGAGGGTCCCGGAGGTTTTAAGCACATGGGCTTAGGGAGAGGCTCATAGGGATGCGGAGCAACTCCTACACTATAAACCCCGAAAGCTTCGTACCTTCTACCACTAGTCACAGCAATCGTGAGAAGGATCTTCGCATCCAGCGTTCGTTTCCGCAGTCTGCAGGTTTGTCTGAGGAAGTTCCGGTTGCGCTGGCTTCAAGGCATCTGTGGATGAGAACCGCCTCGTGAAGAGCCCGAGGTGCAATTAGGAAGACCACTTGAAGAGCCCAGAGAAGGTCTGCGAGGGAGTTGATCATGGCGAAGATCATCGTTCCTTGGGTGTGGGTTGCTTGGGCTGCACGGCTGAGCATCTCATGATGCAGCCACCGGCCACCTAGCCAAGCCCAGGAGGAACTGATGAACTAACGGCTCCTAGCTAAGAGCTGCAAAGTACGGTTGCAAGAAGCTGCGTAGGGTACTGTCATCGGACGGGGGCTTCGGCTCTAAGCTCAAAGACCCAAGTTGCTTCGTCGTTCAGTAGGTTTGGGGGGTGCTCTCTGGGCCCTTCGGCTCAAAACTCTCGGTGTTGCCAGACTACATACCGCATGCAGACCTGCATCAGCCCTGCCCTTCGGCCGAGGAGTCAGAAACCGAGGTTGCGGATTTAGGGTAATGCAAGGAGTAGGGCAGGATGAGGCAGGAGACCCGCCCAAACTCTTACAGTGGGGTGCATCCCCCCCTTCTTCTAGTGCTTCGGCTGGACTTGGCCAAGATACGCAGCTTTCTCAGAGCCTGAAGGGATGTAGACTTGTGAAGAGTTCCCGACTATTAGGCGCTGACATTGTTGGCGTTATAACAGTGATAGTTCTTCTCCTGCACGGATTGTATTGGTAAACGGATCTAGTGACAGGAGACGATCTGAAACGAGTCCGCTGCGTTCCCGTCTTCTTCCTGCAACTTGCATGATGGATCCACTGCTCTATCACGGCCCAAACGCGAGTTGCGCGATCTGGTTATTTTGACTCCCGTCCTCACTTCCGCCCTTATGAAACCGTATGAACCCGAGACTTCTTGCTGTGCCCCTGCTTGAATCTGCATTCACTGGGCCAAGGGCCAAGGGGCAGGGATCCAAACTCTTTCAATCAGAAAGTCAAGGCCTATGTAACTGTTCAACAATCTGTTCAGGTGGCCTGCACCGTGCGGACCAGCCGGACGATCCGTATGAGTCGGAACACCTACGCAGCGCAGGCGGAAGGTCAGCAACAACCGGACACTTGAAGCGTCTGCCTGAAGCTGATGACCTCCGAAAAGATTAGCTGCTGAGAAACCCTCAATGCTGCCGGAAGCCAAAACAACCCTGAACTCCAAGCTTATTCCGAGTGCCGGGGAGCTCTGAGGATGCGGAGGAAGCTAAAGCCGGACGGTACGTCCCAAACCAATGTCACGAAGGATTCCTGAGCACCGTGGACTTGCCGAGTTCGAGGGTCTTGTGGTTGTCCCGGCTTTGGACGGATCGCATGCCTTACCCGGCTTTTAGCAAAGCTGTCCAAAGTGGCACTTTAAGGGAGTTGTTCTGTACCAAAGGCAAGTCGAGAAGAAGTTGGTGCCTGTCTACATGGTTTTCCAATGATCCTGGCCCATCCTGAGCCTGAACAGTCAGGAGTCTAGCTGCGCACATAAAACTTAAAGCCGGCAAAGAACACCACGAAAATAGTCTTTCCAAAGAACTCGAGCCTGAGTGATGGGGTTCGAGACTGTAGGAACAGGGAGCACCTACGCCTTACAAGTAGGAGCTCGAGCTCGAAAGACGTGCCGTGATCGATGGCGAGTGCTTGGGGCCTGGGGGCTTCTCTTTGACCGATCTGTGGCTTTGGCTTTGGGTCCCTTTGGGGTCCAGGGCCGGGGAATTCGTGAGGAGTGGCGACTCTCTCGGGTTGGGGTACCTCAGGTATACGGTGCAGGACGGTCATAAGGTGCAGGAGTCATGCCTTCTAACATACCGGTCTTGAGTATGCCGTGAGTACCCCAAGATACCGAGGCGAGGATCTATGAGGCCTAATGGCTTAACAGCACGGAGTCGTCAGAGTTGGAGATGAGGCTACGGGCTCCAGGGCGGAGGGTGTCACGGTGTCGGGCCTGGGGCTTCCTTGTTTGACGATATGTAGCTTGCGGGTTTTGCAGGATCGCGGGGCGTGCGTTTGGCGGATCTCTCCGGGAGTGGAAATGCATTCAAGGTTTGGAGTTTGGGTTCGGAGGCTGACGATTTGGGGTTCGAGTTAAAGCATAGTAAAACCCAAGACAGCGCCCAGCAAGACAGGTTGATAAGGTTGATACGGGGTCACTTTGTCATTGAAGCTGACTCCGCACAGCGGAACTGTCACCACCAAAGTCAGCCCTGCCCCAAGTCACGACAGATCCGTCCGCAAGGACGGCGGCAAAGGCTGCTTTATAGACGGTTTGGATGTGCTGCACGTTCTTAAGCTGCTCCTGCACAGCAGCGCTGTCACCGCCATCGGCAGCATCACCCCAGGTCACGACAGATCCATCGGCGAGGATAGCGGCAAAAACAGTTTCACATGCTGCAATCTCCTTCACGTTCTGCAGCTGATGTTGAACCCCACTGCTGTCGCCACCAAAGCCGTCGTGACCCCAAGAAACAACAGATCTATCGGCAAGAATGGCGGCAAAAGCCCAGGAAGTAGCTTGAATTTCTTGCACGTTGTTTAGCTTTTCTTGACAGCCACTACTGTCCGCTCCATAGACAACATTACCCCAGGTCACGACAGATCCATCTGCCAAGAGGGCAGCAAAAGCTGCGGTTGAAGTCTGGATAACTGCCCCTGAACAGCACTGCTGTCACCACCGGCATCGACATCGTCCCAAGTCACGACAGATCCATCTGCCAGGATGGCAGCAAAAACTCCAAAACTTGAGGATTGGATGTCCGTAACGTCCTTGAGCCGCTTTTGCATATCTTTGCTGTCACCACCGTATCTGCCATCCCCCCAAGTTACAGCAGATCCGTCCGCAAGGACGGCAGCAAAAGCATTATCGGTGGCCTGAATCTTCTTCACGCTCTGCAGCCGTGCTTGAACGGCAGTACTGTCGCCACCAAACTCAGGGTTGCCCCAAGTCACCACGGAGCCATCCGCCAGAATGGCCGCGAACGCACCAACTGTAGCCTGGATCTGCTGTACATTCGTGAGCTGCTCCTGAACGTCACTGCTGTCACCACCAAATTCAGGACGGCCCCAAGTAACGACAGATCTATCAGCCAGGACGGCAGCAAAAGCGTCAGCCGAGGCCTGTATTTGCTTTACATTCTTCAACTTTCCCTCAACAGCACTGCTGTCACCGCCGCTTTCGGCATTGCCCCAAGTGACGACAGATCCGTCAGCCAGGATAGCAGCGAAAGCCTCGTCTGCCGCTTGGATCCGTTGCACACTCTTCAACTTCTCCTGCACGGCCGTGCTGTCACCGCCAAAAGCAGCATCAGAACCATCGGCGGGGATAGCGGCAAAGGCATTCAGATTGCACCCCACAGTCATACGATTGACCTGCAGCGTCAACATGTTCCCATCTTCAAGCCTTGCTCTCTTGATGCTCTTGTGCCCGTCCAGGATTTGTCCGGAGGAGTCCAGCAGTCGGCCCTGTTTGCCAACTGCTAGAGCAGTCTGTGCCCGGCGCTTCACACTTTCCACCGTCTCCTCCAGATCCGCCTTCAAGGACACGCTCCTCCCACTGAGCAGTCCAACTTCCAGATCAACTGACATGGCACAAATTGCAGCACAGCTCCTGGGACTGGTGCTTGCTAAAGGAACCCCGAATCTGAGGCTCCGATTGCAACTACGATTGCCAATGCTGCCAGACATACGGCTTGAGAGTCTAGGGCTCAAAAACTTCTAGTACTTGTTCTTACAACTTTGTCTGTACATGCATGTCATGTCATGTGCGCATATCTCCACCCGTGCTTGCTGCTGATGCTGCAGGTACACCGGCCGGAGAAAAGAACCCGGCTACATCATGGCAGCTGAAGCTTTCAGATCCAAAGCTCACGAACCTCTACCTACGCCTGCACGTCGCCGTAAACCCAAGTGCGGCAGCAAGGAACTCACAAGACGCCGCTCTAACCCTGACAATTTGAAAGCTTATGCCTCTGAGCCCTGAAGCTGCTTCGGTGGAACTGGGCAGTGCCATCTGAGTGTCCGCGACTAGAAAGCAGTCAAGAAGATTCCACCACGCGTCGTCCCCTGGCTTCAAGGCACCGGCCGTCTTCGTAGAGGTCAGGGGTGCCAAACTAGGGGTCCATCATAAGGATCAATGACAAGCCTGTGGCCCTGGCACGAATACGATCCGGCACACAGATGACCGCACCCCGGAAACCAGCCTCCATCAGACCTAAAGTACTATAGTAGTACCATAGTAGTACCATAGTAGTACTATAGTAGTACTATAGTAGTACTATAGTAGTACTATAGTAGTACTATAGTAGTACTATAGTAGAACTATAGTACTACTGTAGTAGTACTATAGTATCGTACTTGGGAGCTGGGCTACAGAGGAGCAGCCAGGCCGGAATAGCAAGAGAGCAGAGAGGGGAGGCGAGCACGTGCAGAAGTGCTCGAGCTCAGAAGTGTTCTGACATAGGGATTGCTATGAAATTCATCCCAAAAATGTCCTTTAGATCCCTAAAATGTGTGCCAAAGGTTGCTAAAATCAATCTTACGGAGAGGGGGTGGCACCCCCTAGCCGCCCCGTAGCCCGTTAACTACATGATTTTCATACCACCCGGGGTCCGGAGTCGCTTGTTGATTCACCTGAACACTATAGAGGAAGTTAGTAAACGAGAACTCCCGCAAGCTCCAAAAGAGCCAGCTTTCGTGACAGGACTCTTTCGACATGGACCAGGCCGGGCTTGGATTCCGGCGTTTCAACTCATTGCAGAAGCCTTGTTAAGAAGGCTGGTTCGCCTGGAGCAGTCGTGGAAGCAGTGAAGCTCGTGGCATTCCCCTTTGTAGCGGTGGGAGTGGGAATAGGACCAGTGGCAGCGGAGTGGGAATAGGACGAGCAGCAGCGGAGTGGGAATAGGACGAGTAGCAGCAAAAGAGCCATCGGACGACAAAAAACATAAGCTTGGGTCGAAGGCACCACCCGCCACACTACGCTGCATCAGGTTTCGTCACGAAGCGCACCTGTAACGAAATCCAACCTCTCCGCCGCCAAGCGGATCACGAGCTCGAGCGCAAACCAGCCTCAATTGAATGATCGTCGAGGGATTTGGACATGCGTGCTGTCGTGCCGAATCTGAGCAGCTCCAAGTCTCTCTTGCAAACGCGAAAAATTTCACGAATAGCGGGATGGGCCAAGAAAGGCCAAGCCCTGGGTTCCTCTAGAGTCTCGCACCGAAAATCTCCCACTTCGGATGCAGCTCAGCCGCAAAAGAAGGCCTCGGCTGGTGTCTCGCTCTCTTGGGCGACGCTTCGCTTAGAGAGTGGGTTGGATGCTTCTGACTGCAACGTGGTGAGCGAGACCCATGCCGGAACCACTTGGCAGTTCTGCATTTGGTGGGTCTGATCATCCGAATCCTTCCTCCAGCCATGTGGAGCTGTCCGCGTTCATGCAAGGCTTAGGCTCAGCTACAGTAGTTTTGTGTCGTGGCGAGGCATTCCGCAATGAGATCTTCAACTCCGCCCCCCTCACTCAAGCCTGAACCGTATATAAATCCATAGCGGGGCCACGATGTCTGGATCCCTCGTAGTGGGGTATTTGGGCGTGCCCTCCAGTCGACGCCAGCTGTTCCGGACCTGAGCTGTGGACTTCTGGACTTCTGAACCTACTGGCAGTAGATGGGGGTTTCCGAGAGTAGGGGACCCTAATATAGTACCCTAAATAATAGGATCCTTACTATAAGGACCCCAAAACAAAGTACCCCTTATTTTGGGAAAGCCCCAGATCCCTCAAGATCCTGCGAATATCGTCGTGCGCATAGGGGCCCGAAGGCCTGCCTACTCTATGGAGTCAGCAGCCTACACTGACGTTGGCACTCACAGCTCTGCTGGCACCGCAGACGGCTCCAGGGCCGGAAGTTTGAAGCATCGAAAATCCGTCACAACGTGAAGCTGATGTAACATCTTAGTCCAGGCTCTGCAAGAATCTTCAGGAAAAAGGATACCGACAGACGGTAGCCTCAAGACAACGAAACGAGGCCACCACCACCACCAGTGGAGGAACCCAAAACCAGATGCCGCCAGTGGACGTTTTGGTCGGCAGCCCAGCCGAGGTAAACCGCATTGGCAACGATAGCGATCATGGCAAGTGTCTTGAAGATCACACCTGTCGGCCTCCCAGACCCCCGGAAGGATCTAGAAAGTAGATCCCCTAATTTGGGACCCTGTACTACTAAGGGCTCTTTATGGGAACCCCCATTGAGGGATCTACTTTCTAGATCCTCCGAGATCCAGGATCTGTCGGCTCGGGGCGTTGATGCTTTAGAGCAGGCTCAGGAAAGTGTAGGGAGCAATGGCTACAGTAAGGTTTGGGAAGTTTGCGAGATGGTGTCGATAGAGGAACGGTGGTACAAGGGGATGCGACAGACCACATGCCCAGAGATTCTTGAGAAGCACACATGAGTACAGAAACTTTAGAACGAGTTCCTGGGGAGCTAACTTCAGGACACTGGCCACCGGGTCACTTCTGACATTCATACTGTTTTTTCATGTATCACGCGTATAGGAGACAAGTGCAACCCCAAAGTCTCGCCTCCAGCGATGCGGTTGATGATAGGCTCGCTGCTATCCGCCGAAGAAGAGCACATCATTTTCATCCCATCAGCGCAGGACCTTGCTTGAAAGTGACTGGCGCCGGCACTCTGACTTTGTTGTCACTTGTGCCTGATCGCCCTCCCTGACCCTCCTTACTTCCGGCCAGAGCCACGTCGGCCGCAACTGAAGCAGACTCAAGCACCCCGTAACATGAGGCGATCCTTCCAGCGGAAAGTGGGCCGCCATTTCTGCTTGCAGCTTTGGGGCTGAAGGCAGGTTTTTTTGGAAGCCGCATCGAATTGCTCTGGCACAGGGAGAGCAACAATGCAGGGCAAGGAAGGGCTCGAGAGGTGAAGGTCTCAGGGCAGAGAGCCCGCCGAAATCTGAAACTTGGTACTGTTTGGAAAAACACGGGGCTCATCCAAAGGCGATGCCAAGTGTCCACTTGAAAGGAACCTACGGCTTTGAAGCCTAGAAGTTTCACCAGGTGGGAAGCTGCAGCAGGACTTAAGGCGGCTTCATGGCTTCACCTGCGAAGTCCCAAGAAGCTCTGCGCCCAGTAGCGGGCCTTCGAAGGGGTTCTTCTTGAGCATGTGCATCCTGAGGATCACAGCAATGGGGCTTCCTTGGGCATTGGTACCTACGAGATATCAATGCAGCTGCCCAAAGCCTGGCCAGGGACAACAATTGCAAGGCAAGCATCTGAAGCAAGGACAGCTTCATCACGGCAGGTATCATAACCGACCCAACAGCATGGGAAGGGTTCGGATGAGGGTTTGTGAGCATTATCGGTCACTATTAAAACCCTGTTGAGCAATATCCACTGGTCTTGCAGGACATCTGGTGCCCCTCAGCTATAACCCGGGCGTGGGTTGACTCTGCTTGCAAGTGGCTTCGAGGCCGCCAGCGTCTCTTCTGTCGGCATAGGGCCAGACTGGGACAGAAGGATGAGGTCTGCTGAGAGTCTTATCTGAGACTCTCGGATATTGGGTGTTTCGAAGGGTTTAACAGTGTAAGTAGTAACCCTTGCTGATTGTGTAGGCCCCGATGTTCGTCTTGTTGTCGCTGTATCACATGCATCTCACAAGTTCAAAATATCTGCAAGGAGTGGCGCAGGTACCCCTAAACCCTAAACCCTAAACCCTAAACCCAACAGTAAGCCCTAAGGTCGGGCCTGGCGCTGCCGCCGCTTGAAAGAGAGCTCCCGCTTCACATCGTTGGTGGTAACCTCAGAAGCTTCGATTTGGGGCGTCGGCTTCAGGGTCAAGATCAAGGGTCATGTGACATGCTGTTGGTGTACTATCTGGAGGACGTGTGATTTTGCCCAGGACTCATTGAGTGCTTGATGCTACCGGTGGCCCACATTCTGCCGTGTTCAATTTTGAAGTGTGGCCATTCGGAAATCTTGTTGGTAAAGTCCTCCTAAAACCGGTTAGATCGTCGGGGTGGTTGATGTTTGTTGCCGATTTTCCACACCTGGCGGATGCGGCAGACAAATGGGAGCAAACGAGTATCTGTCCCTCTGGCTACCTAGATGTCCTCTCTTTCGATCTACCGGAATCTACCGACATATCCATGTACGTAAGCATGTACGTATGTATACATGCTGCATGCATGATCAACTGCACACGCAGTCATGCCAATGGCCCGTCTTCCCACAGAAATGCTTGTGCGCACGGACGTCCAAGAAACCTGTCATAGCTGACTCACCAAAGCCATGCGACTCACTGACACAAGACTGACTTCACTGACAATACATCTGGTGGGCCTCTTGGCTACCCACTCGAAGCCTCTTGACATGAAATGGCAATGCTTACAGAAACCGGCATGCAGACAACAGCAGCTGTACTCATTGAACAGCCATTTAGCTTGTTTAAGCTTTTGCATCCCAGGCTACACGCTGGATCTTCGAGTGCTCGGGCTTGCCAGCCTCCTCCTCGTCAAGGGAAATCTCCATTGTTCACGGAGCTTTGGCTTATTCGGGGAGGCTCCCAGGGGTATCAGCACGGCGCCTCGCTTCAGCAAGAGACTTTCAAGTATCCGAGGCATCTCCCTTTCGATGTCCCCTTCGCCCACAATGCAGCACCAAACCCGAAGCTTCAACGGTTTGAGTACGCCAGAATACCAAGCCATCCCGAGAGCTGGACTTGATGTACTACGAGCCCGGTAGCATGGGGCAGGAATCGCGTGATAGGGCAGAACCCATGCTAGGCAGCCCACTCTGCAAAGATCCACTGGGCCATTAGACTCCTACAAACAGCCTACTAGGAGGAGCAAGAAGATATTGAGCCATTGCTCATCGAATCACTTGACAACCCAGCCCCCAGCCACAATCGGAGCTACCGAAAGAACAACAAAAACCAGACCTCTAGCTCCAGCGACAACAGGGTTTTAGGTGACGTACCAACTTAGTCGCCAAGCAGGTCCAAGCGGCCTCGCCAAGGCTACCTTAGATCTGTTTGCTTTGAGGGCTTGCAATGCAGGATTCAGGTAGCAGGTTAGCATTTATGTTTTCACCCGCTTGCTGTGAGTCAGGTGTCTTGAGTTGCTGCAGCTGCCACTGCCTCCCTAAACCCTAAACCCGTCCTTAGTTTGGTTCTGAACGGAAAGGGCACACAGCGGTCGTGCCCTTCGCAGCCGCGTGCAGAGATGAGGCCCGTGATCATGACTGATGCTGGACGTCTCTAAAGCCGAAACACCGACGAACAACAAGCAATGGCAACCCACAACACCAATGATGCTTCCTTTCCTACATCTTACGTTCTCTAAACTACAAAACACCCTGGACCGCCCTCGACTCCAAGCTCCAAGTTCTGCGACATAGACACCCGCTGGCTGCTCTATCCCAAAGGGGCTGGCGGACGGTGGCCTGCGCTGAGCATCTTTGCTTTCAACTTGAAGCTTGAATTCTCCTGAATGTTGGGTTTTTGGCCTCGTTTAGATTCCGCTTCTCAGGGGTGGATCCGGTTTGGTGCTTCCAGGTATGAGTAAAAGCAAGCAAGTTATGATGTTGGTTTTACTGGTTCAGGATTTAGCCCGGGATTTAGGAACCCATGGTGGAGGATCAGTGGCGTAGGGGTGGAAATCAGGCCAGGGACGTCATCGTGCTCGGAGGCAAAGCTCTCGAATGACTGTCCTGCTATGTCGACCTTGTGTAGTCCAGCCATGTTCTCCGTTAACTTCTATCTTGATGGGCTTCCATTCTGGAGGACGCCGGCCAAGAAAGACTGTGTAACTGTGTGGTGAACATGTCCTATACTGTGCCAACAGCGGCATTAGACATTCAGATCAAGTTTAGGTTTGAGTCTTGGAACGGGGCACGAGACTACCTGACAAACGACATCTGTGTTTGGGTATGGAGGGGGGGGGGGGTGGCGGGGAGGTAAATTCCAGAGCCTCCGTTGCGAGATGAAACATGAGGGTTTCCGAAAATAGGGGGTGCCTTATTTTGGGGTCGTTATAATTGGGATCCTACTATTTGGGGTACTATATTAGGGGTCCCCTATTTTCGGAAACTCCCACATGTCCTCGCATACACGAACATCCCGAACCTCTTGGCAGCCAGCCTTGGCTTTGAGCTCTATCATCCGATGCTGACACCCGTAAAGCGCTTACATGGCCACGGCCGTCACTATCGGCAGTACACAAACTACCCAGAGAGCCCAACACTCCGTTTCAGTAGGTCTCAATGGATATCCTCTGCTGCCCTAAGTGCAAATGCCAAACGAAGTTGCAAATCCCAGCATGCCCTGAGTATTCGAGACCACAGATGCACATTGACATGCGCCTCTCGTCCTGCTCCTCTGGCTTAGGCACGACCTGGCTGCAGCGTTTTGTGGAGGGGCTTTTTTGGTTCGAGTTCTCCAATCTTATGTTGGAGCTTAGCATCCGAATCCTGAGAGCTGGTGAGCTGTGAAAGCGTCTGGTTCTGTGCCTCGCAACAGCTTCCAACTCGTAGCTGCTGTCTCTATGTTCAAAACACTGGGGGCATTGGGAAGGACCCTGCGGCATTTGTGTTCGAATCTACGAAGCCGTGAAGTCCTCTGGGGCCAGTCGCGACGGTGTGCAAGACTCCAACTCCCAGCCGTCTTAGCCTCCACTAGGAGCTGTTCGCTGAAACACAGCGAACAGACTCTCGCTCTTTTGTCTCCACCCTGCTAGCCATGATGCTCGACTATCCCAAAGCCTCCCAAGCTCTCTCGTGATGGAACTGCCGACTGAACTTCCTGAATTGCTGGCAGGGTAGCATCTAGAAGTGACGAAGAGGCTGAAGCAGGAGACCCAACAGAACTTTCTGCGCACTTCTACTTGACTGCTGCCGAAGTCTTCGCCGGGGGAACTCTGGTAGCTGTTCAAAGACTTGAGCAGGGCTGAAACTTTAACTGTTAACTTCAGAAGGTGGGGGTCGCTGGCATAGACTTAAAATAACGGGCTCCTCAGCGCGCACACCCCCCTAAACAAGGCACCACTTATGCAGCAGCGCCTGAGAGAAGCTCACCTTCTTGGGAGACTCCTCAACATCATGGGTCGTCAGTGCGAATCCCACGCTCAGCCCGTGCAACTACGGATCGGGCAGATACAGCACACAGTTCACTTGCGTCACTTGATCTAAAGGCATACATCACAAGGTCAACGGATGCGATCAGGCAATGCGGGCATGGGCTGAACTAACCAACAAGTTCCACACAGGTTTCGCTACCCGTGGCACTGTGGTTCGCGGTTGATTCCTGTAGTTGGAGAGTTGTTGCTGTAGAAAGCCCGTCTCCAAACAGAGGCTGCCACACTTTGTTGTTGTAACTGGGAAGTTGATTTTTCGTTGACGACTGCTGGACGGGCCTTGCTGTGACTACGATTTCCAGTCGGAAGCTTCTGCTCTCTGCTGCAATACTCTTTAGGGTTTAGGGTTTAGGGTGTGATATCCACGGATACCCTGGTTGTTACACTTTCTGATGAGCTCACCGATGTAAAAAGGAACTGTCAACACCGGCGGCTCTGCGCGCCGCTGAGTTGCGACCTTCTTCCAGTCTGATGCAATCCACAAAGCCTTCCTCCCATGAGCTGTGCAGTGCATACACAATAAGTTGACAACATGCAGCACCCTGAAACCCAAAGGCCCGAAATGCCAAAGACAGAAAACAGCTGCTTACAAACCACGAGCACACTGCGTGCCTTTCTGAAGATCGTGGAGATGCCATTGGATCCAGAATCGGCCCCGGCAAGCCACGCCATGCCTCAAGGAACTGTAGATACACGGATTACATCAGCTCCGATCCAGACGTCAATGTACTCTCGCTACGGTTTCAGTGCCGAGTCAAGTCAAGGAATACCTCCTTTCTCGCTCATCTACCTGGCCATTGCAAGAATGGTGAGATGACCGTCAACCTTTAGGCCTTCAGAGGCGAACTCTCCGAGAAAACGCGTATTCAATACCACTCATCACAATGATCAGGATGATGATCGCGAACATTCGCGCCGACTGCTGCATCGTTTCCAACAACACCGTCAACATCACCACGAAATGGAAGCCACGGGCACAGTGCGTGACACTTTGTGATCCGATCTTCTACCGCTCTTACAAGGGCTCCAAGATCCGACGAGGGGCGGGTCGCCGAGTTTTTGAACCACTCGTCGTCGCCCATGGCCGAGCTCATGTAGAGCTGAGCCTGCTTGGAGCTCGGCTTTTAGGGCTCTCTTCTTTTTGACCAGGGCAGTCGGTACGCTTCGGGATTCACAAGTGGGCCTCTGGCAGGAGGGCTGGGGCTTGATGAAGGCTTATAGGGATTGGCTAAGTTGAAACCAGAGATCCCACATCGCGAACCCTTTTCTTACCTCCACGATCTGAAACAGTAGTCAAGGTGGTACTAGGGTCACTTCTTTCCTGAGGCTCTCAGTCTCATCTGCATGTAATTACATAGCTTCTAATGGTGCTTGACTTGATAAGAACATGTCAACATGGCAAGTTGATAGTCGTACGCCACTGCATCTGTGTAATGTACCAGGTGCGACAACGTCCATGTTTACAAAAAGACCAACAAGTCAACAAGGATAACAAGCTGCGTCGAGGGAGATGATATTCGAGACACTGGCGTTGCTCAGAATAAACTCAGAACGACAACTACCAGACAACCGCAGCAGTCGTAACTTCCCGCCTTCAGCTCGTTGATTTGTTCGTTCAGCACCTGCCGAACGCTAAGGTGGCGGGGCCTACGGCTGGAGGTGTAAAGCGAAGGAGCTACAGGTGAAGTCCATGAAAAGACCAATGTACAGCTTGAGCTCCTACACTCCAACCTCGACATTGCATCAACATTCACTTTGATTCCAAAGCGAGTCTCAAAAAGGTCGCAAACCGAATTATGTCGCACTTCAGGGATCTTGAAAGCTGGTTCGGAAACCCGAAACCCGACAACCGAAACCCCGAAGCACAGAACCGACACTTCCTTTAAACGAACCCGAAGAACACAAGAGTGCCCACGCACTGAGTTTGCATGCGCTCAGCAGCCTCGTTCTCGAGCTCGAGTTGCTCGAGCTTGTTGGTTTCGTTGGCCTTCGGAAGTGTCATACGTTGTTGTTATTCTTGCATTATTGCCACCATTGCAATGTTTGCAAGTAGTCAATCTTAACATTTTTGCGCTCTTTCTATGCTTACTACTTGTTCAGTCATTGCTATACAGCTCAACCTGATTATGTGCTACGGCTATGAAGTAAAGCGACTGCTGCTGATCAGCACGGTTTAGCAGATAAGCTTAAGGCATCGAGGACGCAGGCTTGTGCTTGGGTTCTTTGGCTTCCAGAGGGCAGAGGCCACATCCAACAAGCCGAAAATCATTCCATGCTAGTATCCGGGGTCTTTCAATTAGCTCGTCCTTTCGGCGGCCAGGTTTGCATCCATGATGACCCGACTAAGCGCCCTCCATCACCAGTGTAATCGAAATCACATAGCCCTTCCACACGGCTTGGCCCTTGTGCGGATCTTCCAAGAGGACCTCCCTGCCACGCCTTCCCCTTCGGAGGGTGGCTGCTCTGCTTCAGCGCCTCGTTGTCTGCCTGTTGAAAGAGTGCAGGGCAACAAGGTGGGGTGTCAGCCAAGCTATGGGTCTGCGCCACTTTCGCAAGGAGCTAGGCTGTGGCAAAAGCCCAGGGTCTAAGGGAGCTGGGCAAGGACTCTGACACCTGGCCGTCCAAAGAACCAAGCTGAGCCAGGCTTTTACGGGGAAAGCTTCCGGAGAATTCCGTCCTTCAAGGCATCCATCTCCTGCCGTAGAGACGAGAAGTGGTGCTTCAAATCCTGGGCCAACACTGGTGTCGCACAACGCCACTACACTGCAAGTGAAAGATTGCGGTACAAGAAGCAAAGCTGTGTATCACATCCTGCAACCGGATCGATTCTGGGGGATACAGCGCTGCCCAAGCATCATAAGCATTAGAGCGCAACATGCTTCTCGTCCAGAAGCTGGAACTTTTGATGCTCTTGCGATACAACCTCCAAGGCTTGTAGGTCACCGGAGGATAGCAGTCGCCGGGCATGTGGCGATTAATGATTAATGAACGGGACCTCATGAATAGGGCCTTCATTTAGAGCACCTGCTGCTCTCTCGCAGGTTCGTCTCAAACGGCTTCCAACCCTACATATGCTTACTCGCCTTCGACCCAGGCTCCGGTATTCTTCGAAAATCCCGACGAGAAACGTCTTTCTTGCGACCCCAGCAGTTGCAGTGCAGCAGTTCATGAAGGAGTCCCCCGAACGGTGTGAATTGTTTCATGGATGCAAGGTCGCTTGCCTTCGCAATTCTCTGACTCTCTCCCTGTACTGTGTCGCTCTCTAAACAGGGTCCGTTGCCACCCACTATAGGGATATGGCTTCCCAGAAGCAGCAGAAAGCACCATTCTCAAATTCGCCGAGGTTCCATCTTTTTTTTCTTCGGGAACCGCTAACCCCCTCCCCGCCCACCCCCAGCTTAGAGTGGCACCGAGTCCCCCCCCTTGCGCACTGAACCTGCTAATTGGGCCCTGATGGTGACTATCTTCACCGGCGACCGGGCCGAGGCGGACGATGCGAACACTGGAACGACCCAAGTGACTCATGCTACCTCTCGCGAACGCTTGCGCCAAGGCCCCGGCATCCAGGCACCTGGGCCAAAAATCTCTGTGGCCCAAGACAGAACTTCATTTCGAGGGTTCGCCCCAGCATCCTCCAACATTGATTTGCGGGGCTCGCCCAGAAACGACAAATGTTCAAACGTACCCAACTTCTGGCCCGCACCCGTAACCTTATCCGAGCCCTTGTCGAAAAGAGATCAAGGCACTGGTCCAGCGAGTGCTCGATTTCTCCGGGCACAGCCATGGCTATAGCAGTCGCCCGCAAGGCATTCAGGCAGGACGCAAAGAAAGGTGCAAAAGAGGGCAAACGCCCTTGCAATGCAGGGACGTCTGGGGTGCACTCGTCTACCCAGCATTACAGGTAGGAATGCTGCTTGTTGCGCACACAGACGCCCGCTTGGTCGTTGAGTTGCTGTGTGTCTGCTTTTGCAACATGCTGCTTGCGGCCGGTCTCAGCACGGGAGTTGAATCCGACGGTTCTGCGTAGGGCCTGTCTTACCCGGAGTTGTGCCAGCAGAAACAACCCAAGCGACCTTACAACTTCAGCTGTATATGACAGAATCATGATGATGTAAATTCGGATCTTGAGCCACGTGCGAATCAAGCTGCAATTGCACACCTAATGGCACCAGCCTGGGCGGGAAGAGTCTGGAGTTCGACACACCGGAGCAGCGAAGAGATCACTTGCCTGTACACATGTGCTTCGACACTTTAACATCAGCACTGATGCCTCGGGAGCTGTGCAGCGTTCCTTTTCGCACGGCGGCGGCCGGACGGGGACCACATCCACGTCGCTGACTTTGACCGGCAGGGCGGGCTGTCCGACTGTCCTGCTTGCAGCGGGGGTAATAGAAGCTCCGCATTGTTGAGGTGCCGGCTGAATTAGCTTACCAAAGCGGTTGAGATGTCCAGCAAGGACAACGTGAGCATGCAGTGGATCAGCGTCGGTCACGAGGCGACGGCTCTGAAAAGACGCGAGAACTCGATTAGAGCAAGCGTGCCGTGTGCACACTTGTGTGTCTGCGTTTTTTGCGATAGTGTGGGCCGTTGCTGTGGCAGTATACACCGTCACATGTGTTGCTACATTCGGCATTTTGTATGTGTTCGTTGTAACTTATGGCGCTGCATGATCACCTGCTCTGGCCTGGAGTCCGAAGCCAAGTGATGTCTGCCCTAGGCAGAAGTAGCACAGGATACAGGCTGAGCCTGAGCCCACGGTTCGAACGTAAGCGGGACAGGGAGGTCAGTTTCGACGTAGACTTAGATGGGTTCAACGCGTTTCGGCAGGTGATCCTCGAAGCCGCCGCCGGGAAGGGGCCGTGATTTGCAAGCTGACTCCAGGTCGCCGAGCAAAAGAGGCCTGAGAGTCACTGCTGGTGAAGGGCACCAGGTCTATTTAGCCGAGACGACACAAAAAAGGCAGCAAGCTCCTGAGCTCCATCATTACTTCGCTAGGCTCCCTGAGACAAAGCGGAAGCATCCCGCATTTCCGGTCAGGTTTCGGGGTGCTGAGTTTCAGGGTTAGGGGTGCTGACTTAGTGCTTTTATTATGGGGCTTCCGGTTTTGCAGGGAGTCCAGTCGGCCAGAAGGGCAGATGCAGGATGTATGGAAGCTACTATGTTGAATAGCAAGGGCAAATTCGGGGCACTTGTCGGTGGACCAGCAAAGCACATGCATGCAAACCTTTAGGCCCTCCAATCTGCAACCTGAACATCTTGCAAACGAAACGTACAAGTCACAACTGCTTACACTACTTATCAGGAACTGACCTTGAAGACATCTTCGAGCAGCCTTGCCAGATGCTGAAGCTCCGACCCCGGAATCGCCAGGAGCATCATGTCGCCAAGTCGAGTCGTGTTGGCGGAGAGGAGCTGGACCTGCGCACTGCTGGGAGATTTAGGGCTCGGGGGTGAGCAGTGTTACAGGGTCCTGTATACCACGGGGTTCTCCCATTAGGGTTCTGTGCTGTTCAGTTTGGGTCCCCACCAGTTCAAAGTGACACACTACCGGAGAGCATAGTCTGTGTCCATGGAGGGGTGCATCGAACAGCGAGGTGGCCTCTGCAATTTCAAGCCTCTGTGGGCGGTTTCGATAGGAACGGCTTTGGAAAGGACTGCTGCACGTTACTTTGCACCCGTCGTTGGCCTTGAAGCGCCCGGGAGTGTCCAAGGAGAGACAGCACAGCAAGCGAGCCTCAGGTCAAAGCTTTAGCTCCGCTTTCGGGACTCCTCCGGACAACCAGGAAATGACACCCTCACATCAAGCAGAAACTTAAGAGCCAGATATATGCAAACAACTTGACTCGCGAAAGCACTCCTGTACTGGACTCGGGCTCGTGTCTGACTGCTTTTGCCAGATGTTTGCCGGCGCCGAGTCGTCTAAAGGTCCTCTAGCTTGCCATGACTAGCGGTCCACACGCCATGTCCCAACCGACTAGACGTTGCCTTCGATACAAATTGTGGTTCCTGCCACCAACATTGGCCAAGTGGCACAGAGCTGGCCAACTACCGGGGCAGACGCTGCCTGAGCTCTGCATGCAGAGGTTGGGTCGAGCCCTGGTCAGGGATCCAGCACTTTCTCTTGCCCCTCAACTCGAGCACGTCTTGCAAACCCTTGCAGGCGGGAGGCATCGTGACCAGCAAGCGGCCCAGTCCACCACTCAGCACTTGCAGCGAGGCGCCCAACAGCCTCAACAGGGACTCATCATGTTGCAGCTGGTTCGGTTGGTGCCAGTATAACATACACGTACATACATATATATATATATATGAATAATCATACATACATACATACATACATACATACATACATACATACGTACATACATACATACATACATACATACATACATACCAACAAACAAATTCGCGCATACGCATACACAAGCGGGCGTGTGCAAGGACGCATCCATGCGTGTGTATGTTCTGTCAACGTTTATATATTTAAACCCAGATGTATGTTCACATGTACTGATTTCCGCATGCCTATGTAGCTTGAGTTTATGCAACATGCAGAATGCGCATGATCTGCGTGCACACGTGTGTGTGTGTGTGCGCGCATAATTTCCTGACTGAATAGTCTCATACATATGCATACAAACGAACAAGCACATGAATAAAGAGGTAGGCAGAAAAACAAATAAGTATACAAGTCGCTTGAGCCCTCACCACAAGTCCACAAGTGCATGTTGGCAACCAACAAGTACTTATTTCTCACACAACCTCCTCATTAAGTAAATACAATAATACTGCCAATGTACATGTGTGTGTGTGTGTGCGGCTGTGTATATACATATCATATTCACGCAGATGTACCCACGCTCGACTCTCATCACACCTACACATCCACGCATGCAGGCGTCCAGCTTTGCCTCAGAAACCATGTACCCAACCACATGTCCATGTACATGCATAAAATTTTGAAAACCCATCACTTACGTGCCTGGACACACAAAAGCATGTGCGCATGCATGCGTCATATGCTTTCAAGAGTTCGTTTCAGGGTTTGCAGCATATCGTGCAGTGTCTGCTTGCCCCTGTTGAGGCCTTTCGGCTGCTTCCGGCAGCGGCTCTCTAACTTGATAATGATAATTTGTCTGTGCCAGGTTGCTGGGGACAGAATTTTCTGTCATGGTTTCATTTGGGCTCCGCTACGGTCGTAAGGTATGACGGGCATGCATAGGGTATGGGGTGCACACGGGCTGCCTGTTAGGCTCTCCATCTTGAGCTTTGCGTCCCTGATGAAATATGATGATTCAACATCTGAATAGTAGGTTAGTTGAAGAACAGATTCGCGATTTGACTGAAAGTATACTCAGTGTACCTTATCTAATTAAGGGGTAAGTTGGGCTCACCCGGCTTGCCAGCAGTTCTCGGACTGTTGGACTGATGCTTGGTCGCCGGGCCGGAACGCGACGTGCTGAGGAATGAAGTCAACGTAGCCTTCTCAGCAGGCATGATTGCTATGTTTGTCTTGTGACCGGGAGTTTGCTAATATCAAGTAACATTAGGCTATATGGGAGCTGGGAAAATCAAAAATACCGAAAATGCGTAGCAGCTCTCGTGCGCTCTTTGCGGGCTGAAGGAAGTGGCTTAGCCGCGAGTTTACAAGCTACGCTCATTGCCTTCCGCGCGGCATTCTAGTGACTTCACAGCTGCCATCATGTTGCCGTTAAGGGGGCTCGGTGGCGGCTTGTCTGACGACCCCGACCTACAGAAGGGCAGATCCAACCAGAATGTCAGTAGCAAGAACGATGCTTCAAGCTAGACAGAACCTTTTCCTTTGTAAGAGACTAGGGGCAGAGGAGCTTCAAATCAAGAGCTCTGAGACAGGGTGCGGCTCTCATCCAGCAGCAGCGGGTCGCGGGTCGTCTCCGACACGCACAGCCTCTGATTTTGCGAATCTGAGGTTTGTCTATCATGTTATTGTATAGAGAATGGGCAGGGAAGAAAAAAAGAACGATCCTAATCTGCAGGCATATGCACAAAACTTGAAAAGAGTTAATCACATGTCTTGTCTATGTTTGGCTGTGAGATACAGATGGTTCAGAACCAGGCGCATTGCCAAAGCGTACGGCGTGTATCAGACAAGACCCTATCATCCTTCGTTGGATGCTCCCTGACCCCAGCTCTTCTGCTTCTTGCATGCTGCTGTTCTTCTCACTATACTTATACGCGGACCAGCGTGGTTACTCCAAACAGCAAAATCGAAGCATTGCGGCCTGCGGTCGTTTAGCCAGCCCACATTAACAGAAGACACACCTCGTCTTGCGCTCTTTCTGCGAGCCTCGGATCCTTCTTCCGCCCGGCTTTGGGGTGGCAAATGTCGTGGAAGTTGGGCCTCCCGCGGGGGAGTTGCTGGGTGGGGATCGGGACGTGAGCCGCGCATCTTATGCAGCAAGGTGTAACAAGCGAAGAGATCTGGTGCGCAGCTGTGGACTCCGTCCCTGCGGTGGACATTTCCCAAATCCCTGCGCACCTCGCGCCTTCGATGTCCTGCCTGGGATTGGCTGTAGGACATGCTGGTGTGCAGGTTTCCATGACGGAGTTAGCTGACTACGACACGTTGGACATGACAATGCAGGACTGAGTTTGGTCTCGATTGGATTCGAGTTTCACTGGAGCTGCTATGCCGAACTGTGCAAGACAGCTGCAGGGAAACCAGTTTTGTCGGCTACGGATGAAGCCAGCATGCAGACTGTACTTATCTTTACATCAACTACAAAAACACAAATGTCGCAATCTTAAACCCTGAACCCTAAACCAAATAAGCCAGACCCCTGAACCCCAGAAATCCAAAACCAAGTACTTGACCGAGATGCTCGACTGCCGCCCGATCGATGCCAAGGAAGTCCGCGAGGTCCACGGGCACCTGAAAATGCGGAGGTAATATAGGGGCCTAAATAATTAGAATAGGGTTTTGGGGCCGATTATACTATATTTTGTACTGAAAGCTCCAGCCACTGCAGCCAAGCCCGAAAGCCTATACCGTGTACCCAATCCCCGTCTCCGAGGCGGTCACCAAAAAGACCAGCTTTCCACCGTCCACGAGGCTCGCGGCGGCGAAGTTCAGGAGATCTTCCGAAAGCTCCTCCTCGAACGGTTTAGGGTTTAGGGTTTAGGGCGGCCCTGGATTTCTGCATCTGTCAATGGACCGGTGTGGATCAGAGCTTCGTGAGCTAAGGTATCTGAGGGTGTTGGGATTTTCTGGAGTCTGCTCGATGCCATCGAGGCCTCGGATGCTACTTGTGAGGGAGGTTACCAGCGGTTAGCATAACTCTCTCACGCTCAATCGTTCAGATCTCAGGTGACCATCGCAAAGGCCAGGCGTGAAGGGGTTTTGTCGCCTTGGGAGCACAGTTATTGTGGACCCCAAACCCAAGCTAGGTCCATGAACTCGCTTTGAAAGCAGGTAACCTTTGAATACTCTCGAACACAGAAAGGCCCACTGGGACGCCAGTGCTTGTTGGGGGGACGCTGGCAATAATTCGTCCTCACCGTAGGAGACTTTGGAGGGGATGTAGCTGCTCACGTCCTCCGGGCATCGCAACATGCTTCAGTACGAAGGGAAACCAGTACACTGAGGTCAATCTACAGCTGACGGTTCAGTCTTCCCCCTCTTCCGGAGACGGAGCCGGGTCAAATCCCAATTCAAGGATTCTGCACGTGAGCGGGCTGGATGTTGGAAGGTGCGTGCTGATGGCAATGATGAGCATGACGACGAGGACCGAACAACTGTCTTACGGGTATCTTGACTGCAGTCATTTGGTTGTGCGCACTTCCGAAAGTCAGACTTGGCCGGGGTGGATTTTGCTTGGGCTACTGTTCTGTTTTGTTCAGAGTCTTGGTTTCAGGGTTTCGGTGCTCTGGAATCGAGATCTTCAGCAGCAGAGACGGACAGTCTGATCGTCATGTCAAGCAAAACACACTCAATGTCAGGGGCATTCAGAACTGTTTTTGAAAGCTTGCAAACATAGCTTATTGACATTGTACCTGCTGGGACCATTGCAGCAAGGGCATCGCCGGGAGACAGCGACTCATGCTGTATGAACCAAAGCTTTGCCACAAGTTGAAGTCACATCTGTCAAAATAAAACACATGCAATTGTTAAGTGGGCGCTCACATTGGTCTAAACATGTCTAAACTATCTTCATCTCGGCAGCTCAATTTTGGGGTCTACACTTTCAAGCTGCCAAGCTTGAGACCTTGACCAACACGGCACAAGGGCCTGGATGACCACCTTCTTCTTCGCCTCATCGCGGCCCGACTTCTTGGCGCCCGCCTTGTCTGGGGCCGCTGGGTATTTCCAAGGAAATCGTAGAAGATCCGGACGGCAGAAGAGGATCGAGGGTACTTGGGCTGTCCTGGAGAACAGGGAATCCGAGGTACCGGACACCTCCTCCGGCACTGCATTTGTGACTGCAGGCAGCCGATAACTCACTGCCGCACGGCCGACTTCAGCAATGCCAACTACGCCCTTTTGTTGTCTTCAAACCTATCATGACATTCCTGATCTGACCGATCGGCGAGACTGGAAGCAAACACTTTGGCCTTCAACAAGACATGTACGGAGTGAATCCGATGCCCATGAGACGTGAGAACGTCTGATCTCATCGCTGTCTCACTTAGATGTCTGAGGACGCTGCACGGACGCCATAGGGCGGATCGGTGATGATGAAGTCCTTGGTCAAGATGCCGGCAGGCTTCGACAAGTAGAAAGCACACGCCTCTGTCCCGCCTCTGTAGCATGCTGCAATGTGTAAAGATATGTAAAGCCAACGTCCCGCATGCAGGCGTTCTAAGCTGAGCAGGGGATCGCATGGCTGGCGGTCCGAAAGCTGCACACCAAACACCCTGCTCTGGCTACACCCGCAAAACAAAATGATACTCAGCTCAGTTGCTGCAAATGCTCTGGTGCTAATTAGTGAGCCACTGGCAACACTAATTTCTCCAAGTTCTACAACGGAACCCTCAGCTTTGCTTTGTAATTGTCATGGCTGCACGTCAGCCCGTAAGCCCTCTGCAACCACCAGCTCCAAACTGTCTTGGTTCGTAGTACTTCCAAGGGCTCCGACGAGCCATCCCGGCTTCACTGCTCGCCAAGGCGGCATGGCGTTGTCGCCTTGTATCTGATACAAGTGTCGTAGGTTTGTGCAAAGTTCGCAGGGTTCGACCATGATCAAGCAAGTGCCTTCCTCCGTGACTACCATGCATATGCAATTTCGCAGTTAGTAAGCGACATGCTTCATGGATGCGAAGTCTTCGCATTATCGCCACATGCCTCAAATACTGCGCATACTCTAAGTACGTACTGCATCTGCATCCATCTCGTAGTAGTGCACGAGCATGAACTTAAAAAACCCACAAAGATTCAGCGAAAGTGCACAAAACACATGCACGAGCCGTGATCTGAGAACGTGGCCGATACATGTCTCGCAGGATGCAGGAAACCACACGCGAAGCGCTCGAAACGGGAAGCATGGAGACTTACACCTCACACCGAAACCTCGCAAAACGTCTGTAGGTTTAACGCTCTTCCTTGTCCAGCTTTGCGGGAGAGAGTTCCAGGCCCCGCACACACGACGATCTCAGGGCTTGGAAATCCATACTGCACCTGGGGCCACAAGGTAGTGATGCATTCTGCATACGCCACAACGAGAGAACGGGCGGGGAGGTGCGGTGGCACAGGTCCCTGTTGGTATGCATCCGTGTCCGGAAGCCCTGCATGAAACGCCTTGGGCAGATGCAGGGCAACTCGACGGCCTGGCAAATGGGTACACACCTGCCAACTATCCCAGGCCTTGTTGGACATGTGTTCAGAGTCTTAACAAGGGAAGGAAGACTGCATGGCGCCTGCTGAAACTATTCATTCAGTTTGTAAACGACCTACATCTCGAAGTCAGCCCAGCTGTGCAAACACTTCGGGATTCTAGATCGTTCGGCGCTAGGGGGCAGGCCGCCAACATCTCTTACCCTGCACAACTCCAACCCGGTCCAACCCTTGATCCTTCTGCGTTGACCTAGCCCGACCCCAACCTTCCACTTGCCTACCGCTAAAAACGCAGCGCTACTGAGCTTCTATGGTCGTAGCACAGACAGCGCTGGCTCAGCAGTTTGGTGAGTGCAACTACAAAAAGGTCAGTTTCCCTAATCCTCCCTAGAATCCCTCCACCCACCCACAAGAACTAGACCCTCAGACCTGGAACCGCCTCTACCCTAAGATACCCTGCGTGTCCCATCACGCTGGGCCCTAGGCGAAGTTGGTAAAGATGTTGCAGCCCCCTGCACTGGTCAGTGCCGGATCCTCGAGAAGAGTCGGAGTTCGGTTACTAGGTTTGAGTTTTCCCGAAACAAGGGTTCCATTACCCAAATCCACATGGGTCTTCAAGGCTTACAGGACTTAGGGCGTGTGCTGTCGACGCTTTCAGGACGCAGTATGTTCTTCTAAAGACTGTGAGCTGTAGGACCCGCGCGGCAACTTCGCACCCTTAACCCTCAACTCTAAAACCCGGCCCTCCCCCGAACCTCGAAGCTGCAACCTACATCCACATGGGCAGAATCGTCCCATCAACCCGCGGAAGCCCTCAGTGACCTTCTCCGCCTTCGCATTGCGGTTGTTGGGCTGCTTGAGCTGCTTCGCCTAGTTTTGCATTCTCTCTGACCGGGCCACAGGCATGAACAGCCAGAAGTCGGGCAGAGTGCTTTCTCAGAAACTCCGGAGACTACTGCACGGAATGGGAAGGATTTTGAGGCGAGGTTGTGGCCTAGAGCACGACCTTCCAGCTCGATGCAGACTTATCACACCGTGTGCAGAAGGCCTCAGGATGCCTCAGGGCCTTTCTTTGGCCCGGAAGATGGCAAGAGATAGCAGCAAACGAGCTGCAGTCCTCTGTAAACTCGGAGTAAGCCCCGATGTATCCTCAAACGAAGGTGCCATGAGCGATCTAGATCAGACCGGCAATAGAATCGCCGAGCTACTAAGGCCCCCGAATCTTCTCAACCTTTGCCACGTTGCCTTGGCAGCTCCTGGAGCCTGCGCCAGCGCCAGCGGCAACCTCGAGGGCTCGTAGGGAGGCCAGGGCAGGTGAACGGGATGGCCCACATCAGGACTCGTGGAATTCCACGAGGTATGCGGACATGTCGCGGAGTGATACTGCTAGCCTGAACTCCCGATGAAGCTTTAGGGGCCACGTGACTGTGTGTTCAACAACAACTCTCAAAACGAAACAACTGATCTCAAGTGCAGTTCTCGCAGGATTGCTGGAATGACATGCATGCACAGAATGCTAAAAGCCGAGTCCTGCACCCCAGTGCTTGTAAATACTCCAGGCTCCAACCGCTGCCGCCAGCGCTGCTCTTGGAGCCCCTGATGACCGTTCACAGTTTTTGGGTTAGATTTACACATCAGCAACCTATGTGGTATATACATATGTATATGCATGCATATACATATATATATATATATATAGACATGTACATACACACATATTATATATATATATGTCTGTCCGTCTGCCTGCCTGCATGCCTGGCTGGCTGGCTGTCTGTCTGTCTCT